AAATATTTGTAATGTAGATGAGTCATTATTTTAAGTTGCTTAGCATAATGTCCCCTCTAATTGTGATATGAAAAGGCTTAAAAATATAACGTTAAAAGTTTATTTTGTAGCATTGAGTATAGTTGAAATAAAAATTAATATATACCATGAATTTATAAAAAAAAATTATTCTTGTAAATTTATAAATTATGTATGTAATATAGCTTATTTTAGATTGTGACCAATTCATGAGACTTACATGTAGTGCAATAATATTTTATAGATAATTAAACCAGACAAATTCTTAAACAACTGCTATTGTATGAGGCTCAAAAAAAATACATACGATATAGCCGTACAAATGAGAGTTGCATCCCTTGATTCACTTCCCCTCAAATGGCACCGATTTATCACCTTGGAGATCAATAGTTCTGTGTGTTTGACTTTTTATTAGTCAAAAGTTAAATTTATTAAAAGTTTATTGGGAAAATTACTGTAAAGTCCTATAAAAGTATTTAAAATATTTTAAGGTTTCATAAAATCACCGAATATCTATTAAGTCCCAAGGAATTTGGGGATGGATAAGTTTTTTTTATGAATTGACTTAAATATCCCTGTTTGATAAAAAGAAAAGAAACTCTCTTGCTATATATTCTTCTGTCTTCTTTCCCTAGCCTTTTACTTCTTCAAAATTCATCGCCCCTATATATATATATATATATATATATATAACGTTTTTGCACAATCGCTTGATCCATACAAGAAGCACAAAGTTCTTTCAAATCTCGTTGATCATGTCCATGAAGCACAAGTACCTTTGGGAACATGAACTCCTAACATTTCTGTGAACTATAACGACAAGCTCCTCCAATTCATTGTTCATATTGTCATTAACATCTTCTTTGCTGTTTGGCATACAATTTGGTGGATTCGGTGGAATCTAAGAAGGGCCTCATGAGGACACGCTTGTGATGGTAGGTTTAGCAGCAGTGTCAATCATGCACGTGATAATGCAAGGCTTTGTGACGGCATTGGCCTTGCACTAGATGCAGAGCTTCGCAGTGGCAACAATGGTGACCTTGCATACGACGCAGAGCTTCGGGGCAGTGTTAGCCTTGCACGAGATGAAGAGCTTCACAATGACATTGGCCTTGCAAGTGAGGTTACACTTTTCGGGTCTGCCAGTGTGTTGCTAGGAGAGGGAGAATTACGAACTTTTGGAGGAAGAAGACGAGAAGGGAAGAAGTGAGAGAAGGAAAAGGGGCATTCCAATAATTAGACCACAAAATTTATTCACACCAAAGTCCTTGGACTTCAAAATTATTTATGTATTTCATAAAACCTTTAAACGATTAAAATTATTCTCTGGGACTTAAGAGTGATTTTTTCAAGTTTATTTTGCAACAATAAGTTTAATAAAAATTAATTATTATAATAAAATTTATATTTAGGCACATTTTTCAAAAGTCGATTTAATAACCTGAAAATTATTTCGATAATATATAATAAAAAATATTTTTAAATGTATAATTATTAAAAAAGATATTAATTTTTATGATTTGTAATTTTTATTATACAAATACTTCATATTAAATATGTTTGAAAAATATATGTGATAAGAATTTTAAATGAAATAAAATTTTATAGTTTAAAAAATAAGGATAAAAAATATAAAGTTTGATTTGTTGCGCAAAAACTATATAAATAGTTTAGCTAATGGACATTTTAAAAGCTTATTTGCAATTTTTTTTGCATAAAAATTTATCCACTTGATCTACCAAAAACTTACCTGCAATTTTTTTTTGTATAAAATGTAGGGGTAATATGGTCATATAAAAAATTAGAGGAGTCACATTCCAAAAGCCAAGGGAAATCAAGTTTGAGCTAATCCACATTCAATAGTTTTTTCAAATTATATCCTTAAAAAACCTTCATTTTATTTTTTATACTTAAACGACTTTTAACTTCTAAAAAGTGTTAAAAACCACTTTTTCAAAAGTTAAAAAAATAAAATTATCAAATGAATCATTAAATATTTATACTTAAAGTCAAAGACTATAGGCTATTTTGATAACCAACAAACAATTAGTTCTACTAGTAAAAAAAATTATACTAATTTAACTTCAAATTTTAAGTTTGAGTTCTAGAAATAAAGTAGTATTTGGTGGCATAGTTTCTACCTAAAAGAGGTCGCAACCCTACTTAATCTAGATTAATTGGGGATGTTGACTTTCAAACACATGATGATTTACTAAAACAAAAAAAAAACAAAAATTGTTTGCTAAAAATAAACGTTTAATAAACTGTTGAATTGAATGTGGTCCTGGAGTTAATAGCACATTGATAATATTCAGAATTTCACAAGCCTGGAGAAGTAGAAATATCTTTTAATAAAAAGAATGCGATGAGAAGGAATTGATTCAACAAAATCGAGTGAAAATGATTTGTTTCTTCTTAAATAAAGTTGAGGGTTGGAATATTATGAAGGGGCATGGAGGACACGCTGCACGTGATGCGTGTCTGTCCTCAGACGTTGCAAAACTGGTGCATCTTCAAGGAGCTTTCTTTGGGCCATCATTGAGACAATGGATATGCTGGAATCTGTTTGGTGCAGGTTAGAAGATGAGCTCATATTGGGCTAACATTTTCTCTCTTAGTTTCTGGCAATTATGGCAAAGACAAAATATCAGACTTTTCGAGCAAATGAACAAGTTCATGCTAGAGTGACTTCGATAAGCTTGACACTGATACAGCAAAGAACAAAAATGGTGAGTATTAGGGACTATTTAAAATTATTTTTATTTTATTATTTTGAGAACTGATGTTTTAAAAACATATTCTGAGAATAAAAAAATAATAAAATAAATATTTTTTTTATTCTTTTTTATTCTCCAGAACAATAATCTCAAAACACTTGAATGTTATTTTCATTTTTTTATTCTCTAAAATAATATTTTATTTTTTTATTCTTTAAAATACTTTTTGAAAACGTATTATTAAATAAATTTTTTTTTTTTTATTTTAGAGAACAGAAAATTATTCTTAAAATATATTGCTAAACAGGTCCCAATCTTTTGGGTCAGATTCTGAGACCTAGACGAAAATCTTGGAATGCCCCACCTTCTGAATGGGTTTTGGTCAATGTTGATGGAGCATTCTCAGCAAGTCAGCATCTTTTACTTTCCGTGGACGTGGGGGAGTTATAGGGAATCACAGGCACCTTACGTTTTGGATTTATGCATGGTGATCAGGGCTTTGCAAAAGTTCCGTTGTTCTATCTAACTCAATTCAATCTGGACAAATCTAGTCCGGTTTGAACAAAAAATTAAACTCTCAAACCACTTAATTTAATCCGGTGACATAAAATTATTTTAATGTAATTTTAATTATGTTTAATATATTTGAATAGTTTAAGAGTAGCATTTCCTTCCTTCACAATTCACCTTTTTATTTAATATAATTTTAATTTAATTTGCTATTAAATTATTATTATTATAATGTAGATTAGATATGTTGCTGAAATTTATTGAATGTTGTTGTTGTTATTAAAGTTATAAAATTAAATTATTTAGATTGTAACTGAAATATTTATCGTTAGAGATTGTTATAGAATCTTTTGTAATTATAAGTTTTTTTTATTATTTTAATTGAGTTTATCAAATTTAAATGAATTGTTGCCTTTTATAGAGAAGGAAAAAACTAAATAAGTATTGAACTATTGGGACAAATCTTTCAATCTTATAAATTAAATCTGATCTTGTTAAACTTTAGATTATAATTAAATTAAACCAAATTATAAGTTACTTAATCTAATTATTTTTATAAAAGAGATTAGATTTTGAATCAAGTCAAAGTCTAATCTTATCCGCCTTTTGTTTGTGCAGTCCTAATGGTAGTATTGGAAATGACGGCCTTGAAACTGAATTGTAGGCCATCCTCCTTTTTAACCCAAGATTTGGATTGTCGAAAAGTCACTATTGAAAGCAAGTAAGCGACTCGACTGAAGCAATTTGGCTAGTTCAGGAAAACTGGTATTCTTCCACCAACATTATGCTCTTATTAAGGAAATTCATCAGACTTGGCAAAGAGAATGGGAGATTTCAATCCTGTTGCAGACCATCTTGCAAAGCTCGCAAGGACACGTTCGCCTGGGTTCTCCAGATTTACTTCCCCGCCTCCTGACATTGATTCTCTTCTTTTATTAATGGACTGTAATAACCCACCCCAGATTTAATCTGGGTGTGCCTCTTTGTCATTAAAAACAAAAGGTAGAAATGGAAAATATCACATTAAAACATTTATTTTCAATTAAATCTGATCATGTTTTATATTTTTTTTAGAATACAAGGATACAGTAAAAACCATGCAAAGAGATCAAGATCAAGTCAAGTTAGAAGCCGTAAGGCTCTTACAATCGGTAGGTGATCTGTCAAATAAGATAATATCAAAATTTGATCATGTTTTAATTTGATCCCCAATTTTGGACGCTAGATAATTGGACCAACAACACTTGACGCTTCATTTCCAAAAACTTGGGGCTTGATCCAATAAGGCGTGATAATGGGCCCAGGCTTCTTGTCTCGCGTTATCCCATAATAGAAGCCCAATTCGTAGACAGCAACAAAGGTTTTAATTATAAATGAAAGAAATTTTTAAAAAACATAAGCAATATAACAACACTAGTGAATATATGTCATTTGTTTTCTGACACGTAAAGTTAATTTTTTTTATATTATAAAAAATTAAAATTTATTTTTATTTTTATTTTTATTTTGTAGTACAATTATGTTAAATATTTTTATATTAATAAAAATAAAATTAAAAAGCAAATTTAATTATTATAAAATGTTTTACAAATAAAATTAAAGGAGTATACTATATTTTCCACGTATATTCTTATATATATATATATTGTGGATCAGACTTTGCTTTTATAATAACAAAATCTTATAAAGATTCGTTAACATAGCGATATTTTATTTTTATCAATCAATAAATGATAATAATGAATGGAAGTATCTACCCAAACGGAATTTATTCGACAGTAACAGACAACCCGAGTTGGTTTCTTCTGGCTCTGCGTTTCCGGTCTCGTACTCGTTCTGGTGACTTGGCCTCACTCAGCTTGTACCTCGCGTAATTCTAGCTCTTCTTCCTTCTCTGAACCAGAAAAACCCTAGTAATTGAATGCGAAGTTGACGCCCAGATACACCGTTTTCGGTTATTGAAAAATCTCAAGCTATCTTGCTTGGTTCGACTCGACTCGACTCAACTCCTGCCTCCTAGGTTGGTGAATTTTGCTTGCTGCATCTCGTTTCTGGTTTTTTTAACAAGGAAATTGTATAACTTGGCATTTTGAGAATGGAGTAGCATTTGTGTGTTGTGGCATTACCCTTTATCCTTTTTTGTTGGGGAAGAAGAGGTGGGGCCTACTGATGAAATCATAATTTGTGAGTTTTCCAATTGTCATGTTAATGATATCTGTGAATTGTCAGATGTGAAATAGTACATGATTTGGTCAGGTGCGCTGTGCCAAGTGTAGTTTTTATGGGCGATATTTTGAATGGTTTCTTTTGTCTAAAGAAAAGTTTGGTCCTTGAATTGAATTTTTGGTGCTTATTTTTGAAGCTACGATGGGCATGTATTCCTTTGAAAATTTCGTCTTGGTTTTTTACTAGTGAAAATTTGTTTCTTCAAATTCTTGTTCAAGAATTTAATGGCCTCTGACCAGATTTTGTCTATTCCTTAGATTTACTTATAAAGTTGCCTATTTGATAACCCTTTTGTTGACAAAAAAGAAAATTCGTGTCTATTTTAAACAGAGCAAATGTAGGAGACATATTGGTTTCCTAGCATTTAACACTTGTCAATTTATCAATTTATAATACTTCTTATGCCTCTTCCCATAATCAATATCTGGTCTGCTTTCTGTTTTGGATTATATAAATGAAACATGACTCCCTGAATTTTCAAGAATGTGATGTGCAACTTTATAAATGTCTTGTACAGGCAAATAATTCAGGCAAGTTCCATTATTCCTTCTGAAAGATGAGCATTAGGCCTATTTTGTAGTCCTCACAAGGAAAACCATTAAAGTGAGCTTATCATTCATTGCCTTGTCATGGATGTTGAAGCAGTGGATGAAGGAGAAAGCAATGATAGACTTGAACCTGACAGAGGCCAGAGACAGAGTGTAACTGTAAATCTGCCTGAAAGAGAAGTAATTAATCATGGTGGTGATGCAGATATGAAACCACAAGTGGGCATGCTTTTTGAAACGGAAGATGCTGCAAGATCATTTTATGATGCATATGCAAGGCGAGAGGGTTTTAGCACCCATGTGGGTCAGTTCAGCCGTATGAACCCTGATGGACCAATTGTAACTTGGGACTTTTCTTGTACTAGGGAGGTATTTAAAAGGAAGAACATAGAAAGTTGCAATGCAATGCTTAGAATAGAGAGAAAAGATGCCAACAGCTGGATAGTCACAAAATTTGTTGAGGACCATAACCATTCCCTGGCCTCCCATAGTAAGGTGCACCACCTTCGACCTCATAGGCATTTTGCAGGTGCTACAAGGAATGCTTCTGAGACATTCAATGCTACTAGTGATGCCTATATCTCAACAGATGGAAATCATGTATTTCACGAACCAACTCGTGTAGTCAGGAGTTCCTCTCCAGTAGATCTAAATTATCGATCCAGAAACACTGGTCCTTTAATGTACATAAGACCCACTCGAAATAGGACCCTTGGAAGAGATGCTCAGAATCTTCTGAATTATTTTAAGAAGATGCAAGCAGAAAATCCTGGTTTTTATTATGCTATACAGCTTGATGATGAGAACCGCATGACCAATGTGTTTTGGGCTGATGCGAGGTCAAGAGCAGCCTATAACTACTTTGGTGATACTGTAGTTTTTGATACAATGTATAGACCAAATCAATACCAAGTCCCGTTTGCTCCATTTACAGGAATCAATCACCATGGTCAAATGGTTTTATTTGGTTGTGCATTGCTTTTGGATGAATCAGAGTCTTCCTTTACCTGGCTGTTCAAGACATGGCTTTCTGCTATGAATGATCGACCTCCTGTTTCAATAACCACAGACCAAGATAGAGCTATTCAAGTTGCCGTTGCCCACGCCTTTCCAGGGACTCGCCACTGTATTTGCAAGTGGCACATTTTGAGGGAAGGTCAAGAAAGATTGGCTCATGTTTACCTAGCCCATCCTTCCTTTTATGGAGAGCTGTATAGCTGCATCAATTTCTGTGAGACTGTTGAGGACTTTGAATCAACATGGAATACTCTGCTAGATAAATATGATCTTCAGAAAAATGAGTGGCTTCAGGCAGTGTTTAAGGCTCGCAAGCAGTGGGCCCCTGTTTATTTCCGTGGCACATTCTTTGCTGCACTTACTTCAAACTACAGGGTTAGCTCCTTTTTTGATGGCTATGTGAATCAGCAGACAAACTTACCTTTATTCTTTAAGCAGTATGAAAGAGCTCTTGAACAGTCATTGGAAAAAGAAATAGAAGCCGATTATGATACAATTTGCACCACGCCAGTATTGAAGACTCCATCACCAATGGAACAACAGGCTGCAAATCTATACACAAAGAAGATTTTTGCAAAGTTTCAAGAGGAACTGGTGGAAACTTTTGTGTATACTGCTGACAGTATTGAGAGTGATGGTGTGGTCAGTAAATACAGGGTTGCAAAATATGAACATGATCACAAGGCATACATGGTCACTTTAGATGCTTCTGAATTGAAAGCAAATTGCAGCTGTCAGATGTTTGAATACTCGGGTATTCTTTGCAGGCATATTTTGACTGTATTTACTGTCACAAATGTTCTTACCCTTCCGCCACACTACATATTGAAGCGATGGACAAGGAATGCTAAACTTAATATGCAATCAGATGACCAAATTTCAGATTCAAATGCCATTGAAACTCTCACCTTGCGTTTTAATAGTTTATGTCATGAAGCCATTAAACTTGCTGAAGAAGGAGCGGTAGCAGTGGAAACTTATAATGCTGCAATGAATGCTTTAAGAGAGGGCGGGAAAAAAGTTTCTGTTGTGAAAAAAAAAGTGGCAAAAGTCACACCTCCAACTCCAAATGCTCAGGGTAATGGAAGTAATCAGGAAGATCATAGCAAGAAGAGCCCTTTATCCATGTGGCAAGATCCAGTGTCACATTGCTTTAATCTTAATGACATTGGGCTTCCTGTTGCTGATCTTAATCAGCCGCGTATGGCTCCTGTTTCTATTTATCGCAATGGTGGTCCTTCTGATAACCCTGTAAGAATAACAAAGGACCCTGATGCTTTAGTTTATTTACTTCAAGAATAAGCTGATATTTGCTGTAACTGGATATCACTGGCTGATGCAGGTTGTTCTTATATATTTCAAGTCTATGAGTTGGGTCATTGAAAATAAGAATTCAATCTCAACCACTAGAGCCGCTGTGATTAACTTGAAGGTACGCAAGTAGGTGCTTTGTGTCCTCAATTGCAGTCTTTTCATATCAAGAAGCAGCAGATATGAGACATGTTAACTTATTCTTTAATGCTCTGGCTACATATAACGTGTCACTGATGCATTTTGTCATTATAAGAAGATGATAAGGATTTGGAACAAAAACTTATTTTATTAAGAAAACAATCTACTAGAACTAGACAAGAACAAGTGAGAATCTCAGTTATCCACTTCTAATAGCCTGTGAGAGTTTCGAAACAAAACAAGGGAATTTAAAATACTTCATTAGCCAATGTAAACACCTAAGCTAAGATGGCATATTTATAGGACTAGGAAATAACAAACAAGATTAAAATTAATAAAAAATCTTCAATAAATAAAACATGGGATAGATAGTGGCTTAGTGGCCTGCCGTTGTTGCTTCCTCTTCTTTTCAATTTCCCCACTGATGTAACACACATTTCCCTGCCTCCGTAACTCACTCAAGTGATTGTAGTCCCCTTCCTCCACTATTCTATGTGTACGCCTACTGTAAGTATTCAGTGGTCTTGGCCTCATACTAGAAGAGGTTAGCACCTTCTAGATTCCCATTTAATGTTCATACACTCTGCAGAAAGTCTTTCCCTCTGTAGGTTCTCTCCATTACTATATGACTTTCTGTACCCCTGTACATTTGCAGTGGTGCTTTGAATAGTCTTTTCTCACATGATTTTTCCCCATTGTAGCTGCAAGATTATGGCAAGAACCCTCCAGCAGAGAATGAAGTACAATTCCGGGTAACAAGGGTCACTTTGGAGCCTATGATGAGATCTATGGCTTATATCAATCAGCAACTCTCCACGCCAGTCAATAAAGTTGCTGTCATCAATCTGAAGGTATACAAACTTGGACCATGGATTGTGTATCATGTATCACTTATTCCTGCTTCTTCTAACCATTCTTACAATCTACAAGTCTTGTAGGTGCAATAATTTGCTCCTTTAAATGCTTTCACCTCATATAAGTTAAATATTAAAATAGGTTGAGTTATGGTAGGCAGAACATTATTGATGTATATTTCAAAACATTGGAATTAACAGAAGCAGTGATTAAGCCACTAGGGCATGGGGAGTTTCTTGGATGCCTATTAAGTTCAAGCCTCCATGCTACATTATGTAATATGTGCACACTTACATATGTGAATTATTATGAATAATAATTGGATATATGAAATAAAAATGAACCATAAACATGATTTGAATAGGTGCTGAATAATCAGGAACTCCCCCTCCCCCTCCCCTCTTGAAAAAAAAAAAAAAACCCATCAAAACTCAAGGATCTGGAATGAACGATTTGCATTGAGCTTGATCATTACCTACCACGAGGTTAGAAACATATCTTCTTCTAGTAGTTATTTCATTGGTCTTATATTCGGTCTTAGATTCATTATCCTTGCTCCAACATCATGGTTATGGTTGACCTCAAAATTCACAATGTAAGTGCTTTAAGGCAGTCGTTGTGTGAGATGATCTGTTGAACCATTTTTAGGTAGTATGAATTTGGATTAATTTTGTTCTTGTTCATAAGTTTGAGACTCCGATCATACGCAACGGAAGTAAGAAACGGGATTACATATTTTAATCAGCTTCATTATTTCAATGGTGATTTTTATTTCTCATCTTTATATACTTAACTATGATACTTAATAATGCAATCTGAACAAACATATCTTTGGTACAATTTAAGATTCTTGGTGTCTTGGCTTATGTATACTATTGTCCTTTTTCAGCTCCAGGACACAAAGACAACTACTGGGGAAACAGAAGTGAAATTCCAAGTTTCCAGGGATACACTAGGTTCCATGCTTAAATCTATGGCCTACATCCGGGACCAACTATGAGAACTGTAAGAACTATATTTTCAGCTTGTCATTTCTTGCCTGCTCCTTTCCCTTTTTCAGCGATTATGAAAATTACTCTCCCCATGGCCAGAATAAAGCAAAATGGGGGAAAAAAGGAAAAAGAAGCAAGAAAGAAACTTACGCCCCCTCTTCCTCTAGTTTTTTCAAGTCATATGGAAACTTCTTTCTCTGACATACTCCCTCTAATCCCTATTATAAAACATTTCCAACTGTTTCACTAGAATCAAGAAATGATAAACTCATTAAATATGTCTTAAAATGAAAAAAATTCCAACTTTACTTCTTTTGATAAGAGATATACAATATACAACAACAACAACAACAACAAGCATTTATCCCACTAGGTGGGGTCGGCTACATGGATTGCAAGACGCCATTGTGCTCTATCATTTATTAAGCTTTTAGAAATATTATTAATTAAGAGATCACGTTCAACAACTTCCAAGAGTGTTCTCTTAGGCCTTCCTCTACCTCTCTTAATCGGACTCAAAGTTATATGTTCCACTCTTCTCACTGGTGCCTCCCTTGATCTTCTTTGTACATGCCCAAACCATCTCAACCGATTTTCTACCATTTTTTCCTCAATAGGTGCCACCCTCACTTTTTCACGTATATGCTCATTTCGAATTTTATCTTTACGTGTATGTCCGCACATCCATCGTAACATTCTCATCTCTGCTACTCCAACTTTATGCTCTTGCTGTCCCGTTAGAGCCCAGCATTCACTACTATATAACATTGCCGGTCTGATAGCAGTGCGATAAAACTTTCCTTTAAGTTTATTAGGCACCTTACGGTCACAAATAACTCCTTTAGCTTTTCTCCAATTAAACCACCCAGCTTGAATTCTATGTGAAATATCTCCACTGATTTCGCCATCATTTTGAATAATGGCTCCCAAATATCTAAACTTTTCCACTTGAAGTATAATTTGATCTCCCAATTTCACTTTCAAATTATTTTCGAATAGTCCTTTACCAAATTTACAATATAAATATTCCGTCTTACTTCTACTCAGACGAAAACCTTTCGACTCCAATGTCCTCCTCCATAACTCAAGTTTGCAATTAACCTCTTCTCTTGTCTCTGCTATAAGAACTATATCATCCGCGAAGAGCATACATTTCGGGATTTCCTCTTGAATATGTTTCGTCAAAACATTTAAAATCAAGTTGAACAAATAAGGACTCAGAGATGATCCCTGATGTAGTCCAATCTTTATAGGAAAATCCTTTGTTTGACCACTAGGCGTTCTTATACTAGTTTTTACCCCCTCATACATATCTTGTATGGCTTTAATATAAGCAATCCGTACTCCCTTTTTTTCCAACGCTTTCCAAAGCACTTCTCTTGGTATACGGTCATAAGCTTTTTCCAAATCAATAAAAACCATGTGTAGATCTTTATCTTTACAACGATACTTTTCCATTAATCCCCTTAGTAGATAAATCGCCTCTGTAGTTGATCTACCTGGCATAAAACTAAATTGATTCTCAGAAATACTTGTCTCCAATCTCAACCTGTGCTCAATTACTTTCTCCCACAATTTCATTGTGTGGCTCATGAGTTTAATCCCTCTATAGTTAGTACAATTCTGAATATCTCCTTTATTTTTATAAATAGGAATTAATGTACTTCTCCTCCACTCATCAGGCATTTTCTTGGACCGTAAAATCACATTAAATAACTTAGTTAACCATCTCACCCCTTCTTCACCTAAACATTTCCACGCTTCGATAGGTATACAATCAGGTCCGTTAGCTCTACCATTTGCCATTTTCTTAAGAGCTTCCTTTATCTCCTTATCACGTATTTTTCGATAGAATGACAAATTTTGTTCTCCTTCACCAGTTACTAAATCCTCCAAGTTACTAGATGAATCCTCTCCATCATTGAAAAGTTTAGAAAAATAAGTCTCTCATCTATTTTTAATTTCATCATCTGTAACTAAAATTCTTCCCTCTTCATCCTTAATACACCTTACCTGTTCTAGATCTCTTGATTTTCTTTCCCTACTCTTGGCAATCTTATAAATATTTTGCTCTCCTTCCTTCGTCTCAAGGTTCTTATAAAATTCTTCAAAAGCTTTGGAACGAGCTTCACCCACAGCTCTCTTAGTTTCCTTCTTAGCCATACGGTACCTCTCCCAATTTTCCTCATTGTTACACAAATGTATGGCTTTAAAACAGTTCTTCTTATACTTGATTTTGTCCTGTACACTATTATTCCACCACCAAGACTCCTTATCTCTCGGACCAGAACCTTTCGATTCTCCCAAAACTACTTTTGCAACCTCCCGTATCTTTTTAGCCATATCCTCCCATATGATGTTAGCACTTCCCTGAGAATCCCAAATTCCTTTATCCAAAAGATTTCGCTTGAAAATATCTTGCTTCTCACCTTTTAATTGCCACCACCTAATCCTTGGTGTTACTACTTGTCGACGTTTTTGGATTTTACTCATAATACACACATCAAGGACTAGGACCCTATGTTGTGTCGTTACAGCATCTCCAGGGATCACCTTACAATTTTTACAAAGTTTTCTATCTGTGTTCCTAACCAAAAGAAAATCAATCTGCGACCTTGAGGCTCCACTTTTGTAAGTGATGAGATGCTCATCTCTCTTCTTGAAACAAGTGTTGGCAATGTTAAAATCATACGCCAATGAGAAATCAAGAAGAGTTTGCCCTTCATTGTTTGGCTCTCCAAAACCAAAACCACCATGCACCCTCGCATACTGACCAGCTTCCCTCCCGACATGCCCATTAAAGTCTCCTCCAATAAAAATCTTTTCACTCTGTGGTATGTGTCGAATCAACCCCTCCAGATCCTCCCAAAATAATTCCTTAAGACTGGCTTCTGTCCCGACTTGCGGCGCATAAGCGCTAACAATATTAACAGTCTCACGTCCAATTATCATTTTTAAAGAAATAATTCTGTCTCCAATTCTGCTAACTTCTACAACGTTCTTCTTCCACTCCTTATCTATAATGATGCCTACTCCATTGCGTACACTTACTTTTCCTGTATACCAAAGTTTGAAACCTTGAATATCCTTAGCTCCTTCTCCACGCCATTTTGTTTCTTGCAAGCAAAGGATATTGATTTTCCTTTGAATCATAACCCCTACAACCTCTACAGATTTACAATTTAATGTCCCAACATTCCAAGTACCAAATCTAATTTTGCTCTTATGGACTAACTTCTTTAGCCGCGTGCGTCCAGAATGACGCGGTAGCCCTTGCTCATTTAACACTACATCCGGGCGCCATGCAGCGGCTCTAACTCACTTATCACTGTACTCGAGCCATGCAGTGCGTTACTTACGGGCAACGACCTAGCATTAACATTATAACGTCTATTGTCCATGTTCATGATAGATTCAACAAATTTTTACATTGGCTGTTGATGGCCTAACACAACCCTCTCCTTTACCCGGGCTTGGGACCGGCTATAAACATAGGCGGAGTTAGAGCCATATACAATATGAGCCATAAATTTTAGGAGTAAAATTGGAAAATGGTAATAAATAACCCTCTATGTTTCTTGTATTAAGGACCAAAGATTTCTTTTAAAAGGTGCTTTATAATAGGAATCGGAGGGAGTAATTTTCAATGGATTATATATCTTGTGAACTTCCTTACAAATTCCTTGTAGCCTAATTGAATGTAGTATATATTAAAGCTAGAGAAGTTATGAGCGCAAGTTTTGAAAACCCAGGGTAGATGAATGTCATTTACTCTAACAGATAATAAAGAATGATGGAAGTGGTAAAAGTGAGCATTTCCGTATAACCCCGCAGAATTCCTTGTACTGGTGCCTGGTGGTTGTCTGCAGCTGTGATTCCTCATTTTATTTTTGAGAAAATACCACTTACGGACCCGTATGACTCACCTTACTATTTTCATTGCAGCATATGAGCAATTTGGAGGATTGAATAGGTGAAAAAGTGTCGAAGTGCGATGTGTGAAGGATACTCTCAGATCCACATGCCAAAAGATGGTAGATGGTCGATCCTCACTCGCTGACCATTCAACATAATTACATGGATTAGGTTTAGTTTATAACTTATGGCATCCATTCCTATCAACTGTGTCTATGTTAGAATTAGTTTTTCCTTTTTCTTTTTTCCGTTCGTCCATCCTCACTTACCCCTTCCCTCTAGCTTCCACATTTAATACATTTGTACATGAGGTTCTGAAGATCTTGTATTCACGCGAAGCTTTGTATATATCTCTTGTTCTGGCTATGGAAGATGGGGAAGCTTGACTCAATTACTACAAGAAATCTTGTGTTTATAGTTTTTGATTGATCTTGTTTTGGAGTTGAGATACTCTGTTTCAGTCACATAGATACTTCCTCTGTTCCGACATCATGAGTCATAGGACGTCTGTTTGAGAGTGAAGACATAGACGAAGCAACCAATGAAAGGAGAGACAGACTGCACAATGCTTTGAGGAATTGACATTTTGTATGTAATATTACAATTATATGCATTCATCATGTTGGTTTCCACGTAGGAGTGGCAAATTGGTGGATTTTGTAGATATGACAGTATAGACTAAGGATATGCATATTTATTGATATCATTTAAGAAGATACATTTAATATGTTCAAAACTCAAACCACAACATTAAGTTATAAGTGATCTTACATGCTGTAAATAAACTTTTGACGCCGTAAATTGAAGTATTAAATAATAAAAATAAAATTAAAAGGCACTTTTATCTTTGAAGTATTATTTTACCAAGGGTATTGGTTATTTTGAAATTCAAATTGATGCAGTGTTATTCCCAAAATACAGAAGACATGACAATATTGTTAACATTTGTAAATTTCAAAGGCCAACCTTGTGATAATTTAGACTTTAAAGTGGTTAATGTTCTTAGAAAAATGCTTTAAAAGCAAGCAAAAATATCCTTTAATCCATAAAGATAATATGTATTTAACAAATTGAAATCCTCTTTGAAAGAAAATTCAATGGTTGAATTAGATTAAATGAGTGATTGATTCAACAAAAGCAGTCACCAATCTATCAAGAGAGTATGAATCTTATGGACTAGGTCACAGCTGAAACCAACGCAAAAGAACTATATTGCTACTATTATTACTATTTTTGTAAGGAGTACTAGGCATTTAAAATATTAATTGGTGCAATGTCATTTAAGTGTCAAAGTCCTTGTGACTTGACTAATGAATATTGATGTTGATCATTAACTTCAAATTGACTTTGAAAAGAGTATTTTTCTTTTAAAGTATTCATGAAAGAGTAACCAACATCCTAAATTTTAATAAAGTGGATATATTAGTAGCGGTGTTTAAGGTATCATATGTTTTGCTAACTAAGTATTCATCATTAGAAAAATATCTATTGAACCAGATAACTTGCAATCACATAGCAATATTATCACAAGTATACATGTTTATCTTGATTTGCTAATTAGGTACTCACTGACCAAAAAAAAAATCTCTTAGGCTGCGCTAATAATTGATGTCAAAACATGATTGGTTTAAAAAAGGAGAGAGAAAAAATTTCACCCAAAAAAAAGTTTAGCAAAAAAAAAAGGGAAAAATGGATGGCATGGCTTTCTGACTAAGGATTCGTAGTTAAGAGAAAAAGAACCAACCAACTTTCGTTGACTGAAGAATACCTATATAACCTATGATAGCATATATAACAAAACATGTGACGATATTTTTTGGCATAGAACATGTGACAATATTGTTAATTGATCATTGACATACTTTTTTTTTTTTTTACTGATGAATACCTTGTTAGCAAGCCATGTGATCCTCTAAACATGATGTGGCATGTTTCCAAAAAAAAAATGTCAATTACTCTGCATTATCAAACTTCAGGAGACCACTTATTTTTTATGAATACTTCAAATGTAAAAATGATTTTTAACTAACTTAAGGTCAATTTGAAATTAATGGTCAATGTCTAATAATCAAGGAGTGACATTGCAATGATTTTAACACTTAACTAATGACATTGGTTTATGAATAGTTTCAAAGAGGTAAAAATACCTTTTAATGATGTTACTATATTATCTCAAAATTATTAAATTGTTAAGCTTGACAATGAAATTTAAATTAAACTAAAAGTTTACTTTACTTCATTGTAAACCCTAAAATTGAGTCCTAAAAAAAAAGTAAATGGCTCTCCTATCTCTTAGGATATGCCGCTTATGAAAACTTCTGATCAGTTTTACAAAATTAATTTCACTTTAAAATTTTATATAATATATTGTCTGCTCATGACTAATCATTGATTTTTAAAAAGTTTTACTTCAAGTTGTTATAAATTATTAGATCAATCATGCTTTCATAATCAAGGGATACACACGCACACTGAAGGTGAGTATTAACACTGAGTAAACGAGCTATGAATCATCTTGCATGGGCTAGTATTTTTGCGAATTAGGTTGGGCTAACTCGCCAGATAAAACAGACTAAAAAACTCAACTCAACCTATTTTCTGATAGGCTGGTTAGCCCACAAAAATTTACTAAATTTTTTTTAACGATTTAAAATTTATATAATATAAATATGTATATTTATTTTATATTTTAAGGCAAATTAACAATTAAAGAATTTATAAATAAATAAAATAAACATAAAATTCAACCAAACAAATTCATTTTGTTATATTTTTACTATTAATCATTTTCTCACCTAAGTGTATTATCTTTCTCACTAAGAAAGAAAATTTAAATATAAACCCATATTTTTTTCAATGAATTCATATTTGTGATTTCAATCAATAGATCTTATAAAATTAATAAGTAATATATATTTTATAAAAACTAATAAATTATTAATTTATAAACTATAATAAAAATTTCATTTATAAATTGTAAAAAAACTTTACATTATCTTTTAAATATAAAAAACATATTTAAAAGTTATAAATTATATATTGAACAAATATTATCATTATTATAAATTTATAAAAAGATATAATGTGATTAAAAAGTAAAAAATTACTTTTCACAAAAATATACTAGCCTGCAGGCCAGCTCATTAACCTGTTAATTTTACAAGTTGGACTAACCAACTCATTTTAAAAATTGATTCAATTTGTTGAACTCAACCCGTTAAATTTGATAGGATAAACAAACTAGCCTATAAACTCAACCCACTTTCCAACTCTAATAGGTATGATTGCAAATTCCAAAAACTTCCATCGGTTTTTTATGTAATCAGACTCTGACCATTGAATTCACGAGCCACAAGGAACATCGAGACCGACTAAAAAGTAAAAACTGGCACATTTGCAAACTTTAATTAGGGCATTTGTCATTTGGCATAACCCGACTCTGATACTGTTTGTTTGGAGCTTGTAATCATTGTGCATAACAAGTCCCCATGGGTCTAAAATGGCACACCACTACCACCCAAAATGATTTCTTGAAGCATATAATGTTAACTGTACATAAGTACCCACAGGCCACATGTATCATGCCATGTCCCCAACCCAAACAAAAACAAACAAACAAAAATGAGAGAAGAGAAATAGGAAGCATACTGTTTAACAGCAAAGTTCATGTGTTTATCCCTGCGAGAATTCTGCTTACAAATACAATCGCTCGGTCAAAATAATTGATGTGATGAAAATAAAGCAAAGAAACCACTAAGATTACACATCAGCTATCCTAATAAGACAAGTATGACGGCATTTTCTCATCAAGTCTATAAACCTAAAGTGGGTAAATAGTAGACAAGTCACCTCCTTGGGGCCAACTTCATAATAAGATTCTCAAAACAGTTCCAGAAAAAGAAAATAGAGCCGAACCCCATTGTTACAGGAGCCCGTTCTGTCACTGGAAAGGCAAAAATATATTTGACAGGAACTTTCACTTCTGTCGTTCTGAATGCCCCCATCGTGCATTCAACTGTCTTCTTTATTTTCTGGCCAAACACATTGCACTGTCCATCCAAATGGAGATATGATCTATAAGCTCCGATAATCTATCACAGTGACTTCATCCTCTGGGGCATCTAGATCTTGATAACTGCATCGACATAAGTAATAGTATATATATGTTAGAAGTTCAATCACAGAGACCACAGCGATATACTAAGCCCAAGCAGATCATGAATGATGATTTGCATTAATCAAGTCTGCGGGCACATTCTTTTCATCACCGGGATATTCTTCTGACTATTGTTAAATCCCTCCCTCCCTCTGTGGATATCTAAAACCTTTTCTCTAAAATGAGTTCCCTCCACCCGAAAAAGAAAGAATAAAATGAACTATCTCAACATGTCAGATGATGGACAAGTCCAAAGCCAAATAAGCATAGTCAGGCTACCAAACTAAAAAGGGAGGATAAAGGGCAGAAAATATGGGAGGATTGATTCATTACATGAATCATGGAAACAGAATGTATAAAAAAAATGGCATGAGCAAATATCTAAACAAAGTTCATCCAGGATATTTACCTACGCATCCGCCGAGGATCTGGTCTAAAAGCTGGGGGAACAGCAATTATTGGTGCCGATCCACCCCCACCCATGTGAGGACCAGATCGCATCTTTCTTCCAGTGTTATCATACGAGGATGGCCCTTGCTCTCTTAACATCTGCATTGCAACTTCTGGGGGAGCAGGTACGAAAGGTCCCAAAGGTCTGCAGAGTTGCAAATTAAGTCAGCCCTCCTCTAAATCTAAGTAAATACTAAGAGCAGCAAAAGTTAAAAAAAAAAAAAAATAGGAAGAGCAACCAACCCTGCACCAGGCACAGGCATCAAGACAGGTGGAGGGGGCATGTCTGCAGTAAATGGAGGAACAGCAGATCCTGAGTATGCGTCATACATTGTTTCATCATGGTTTCCCATGTCAAGAGTTTTAGACTGCCGATCATGAGAGGGGGAGTTCTCAGATCTATCTCCATCATTTACTCTGTCACTCCGATCATGGTCTCTTCTATTGCCACGATCATCTCTTAATCGACCTTCCAGGCCTAATCTACGCTTTAGTGGTTTGTCCTTCTACAAAAGCATAGTCCAAATCCGGGCCATAAGAAAATGAAAATGTATCCAATGACATCGCTTGCTAATAATATATTACTATGCTTAAGCCGTAAATTCCTCATGTTGACGTCAGACTACTTGCCCTCAGAGATTGAGAACAGAGTAGCAGATAACTAGACTATAATTCAAAATTTTCACCCAATTCGTAAGTTGCTCATAAACTTTAGTAACAATTTCCCTCTTGGCATACGCTCCCTCCGTTCAAAATTTTAAGACATTTTGAACCAACTTCCACCCCCTAAGAAAACAGTTAACACCATAAAAAACTACCCACTCTTTCCACATTTATCCTTATTTAACAGGGTAACTAAATCTGAAATAAATATAAAAATCTCATTAATTTCAAATATTCATTAAGGGCATTCTTGAAAAAACCTTATTAATCACTCCTAGAAAACACCAAAATGCCTTATATTTTAAAACATGATATCTCTAAAAAAAATGCCTTGCAATTTTGAACAAAGGGAGTAACTATGTGCAGTAAAGATAATCAATACCTGAGGTTGCTGCATGACAGGTGTGCCACCTGGAGCATTTGGATCACTACAAACATAGGAAAGCCATAAGTAATAATCCCAGCACCACTGGAAGAGGGCAAAAAGAACCAAACAATGCTTACTTCATGTAGTTCTGGAAATAGAGATCCTCACGAACTTTTGAAGTTAATTCCATCACCAGGTCTGGGTGTTTAAGTTTAAGATGTTTGTGCACAAATTCAGCAGCATGAAAAAGCTTCGTGCAGCCCTTAGCCCCACAACCATACTTCCATCCATACTTTTCATCTCTAATTTTTCTAACATGTGGATCCAACACTTCAACTGCTGCAGCATCTATCTTCTCCTTAGCAGTCATCATCTCCAATGGATCCTGACCATTCAACCTTTGCTGCCAAAATGAGTCAACTTTCCTTTCCCATTCAGACCCAGACCCAGATTTATTTGTATCATCAAGTCCTCCTTCTGGCCTCACATGCCTAAAACCCTTAGCCTCATTAGTCTCAATCATGCCATAATAATCCACACCATGAATCTGCCAAAGATATGTCAGAAGTGTGTCCAGGAGCTCAATGCCTTCTAAGCCTTTGACAGATGTCAGGCCCCGTATGATTATTATGGGGCCAACAGATCCACTGTGTCCCTTATCATCACTTTTATTGTGATCGCTGGTGGATAAAATATTATCATCGATTCCCTTTTCCACATCAAGCTTGCGTACAAGGGCCTGAGCCTGTTCAATATCTATTTGTATTCGTCTGGGTTCAGAACTGATTGGATGAGCCTTTGGAGCAGCTGCAAAATCATTTTCTTTATTAGGTCCCCTCCCATGTCTTCTTCGTTTACCACCAGTGTCTGCTTCATCGTCTGAATTTGGCTCACTTGCTTGACCTGATTTGCTGGCTGAAGTGGCATTTAGACCAGGATTTCTGAATTGATAGTAATACAATGCATGCAACATTAGGATTAATAAAACCAGAAGAAAAGGCAGATACACGGGTGTGCATATAAAGAGTATGGATCAAGAACGTACAGATCTAGTGTTCCACTCTGCAAATCAAGCAAAAACTCCTTCGCCAGCCGTCGGGCATTTTCATTCCTCCTATAAGATGCACCAGATAGGATTTTAACACATGAAATAAATAATAGCAAAGTTTTTACTCTCATCACCCTCTTTTTCTCTCTTTCAGTAACTACTAAAAAATGAAGGCAAAAAGGCCCAAATACAAAGAAAATAGCACTGCTCTTTAAACCAGATGGGACTAGCCAATTCAATCAGTAAACGAATGAATTGGTGCCTGATCGAATTTGGTACCTCCACAGAATCGGTCAAATGGAGAACCACTTAGAAAACATTAAAACAGATCAAAAACCAAGAAATTGGACCGGCAAGGGCATTTCTTCCAGCCGTTAGCTCCAAAAAAAAAAACAAAAAAACATTGTCTGAGGTTGAATTTTTTTCCCTTTATTCTAATATCTTAAAATTTTTAAAATATTATTGAAGATAATTATTAATCTTTTTGGAAATTATTTAATTAAGTGATTATAATATGAATGTTACAGGCTCTCTTTAATTGGTTTCCAAAAGATTTTAATTTGAATGAATACTACGATAATGGATTGCTAGTTGTTTAAGTTCAATTTGTGATTGTGGATGAATATCAACTGCTTTGGATTTGAACATCAAGTCATAAAATTGATTGATAGTCATTTTTTATTTCCCATACAAAGTGAAAAATGTTAATTTAATTATGACAGATTCTACCTTTGTTAGACCAATGAACCTTGAACCAATGCCTCCATAAGTACAATTATTGGCCTAGTTTTCAAAATATTGAAAAATACTAAGTTCAACTCCTCATTAGACAGTAGGGTCATCATGGGCTTACCTGTCGATCACTGTGGGTAAATTTGTGGGATGATATTTATCTTTCAACCTGGAACAAAAATGAATACATAAATAAAATAAGGGAAATAAAATAAGATTTCTTGCACTTGAGAATAGATATTGTACATTACACAATATAAATTGCAAAACATCAGCAAAAATTTGCCAGCCATAAAACTGTACCACTCCTCATCCTTGTGAGCATTGAAATAAGCCCGTTTCTGTGTTGTAATGTACTCAGATTTGTACTCTTGATACCTAAAGAAGTGAAGATGCAAATGCTACTCAGTCAATGAATGTCCCATGAATTCTTCAGAAGCCAAACTTTTACAAAATGAGGCAAGGGATATTCCAAAAACATACCTACGCTCAGCTTCAGCGGGCAATATATCATCCTCAAGCTCCTGAATGAATTGCTTATAAGACATCAAACCCTCCCTGGAAAAACTCAAAGAATCATCATATTGACAGAAAGAACTGTGTGAGTGTGTTTATGCATACAAGGTCAAATAAACAAGTCTGAAAAAATCTGCAAGCAGTGTCTACATTTGAAATCATCATGTCACAATATATTATACCAGATTATTTGAAAAATCTTCAACACCACAAACTTTTGACATGCAATTCCCAAGTCCTAATGATTAATGTATGAGAGTATATCTGTATGTTTGATAAGTTTCTCACCCAACCTACCTTTCCATTGATAAAGTTTTCCTTAATCTATCCATGATGAAAAGTGTATGATATGAAATATGATGCACGGCATGCAATGATATGAAGCTTACCTTTGTCCACTGCCGCTAGGCAAATCTGCAAAACCACGATTTGGTTCCATGTCTGCAGAAATTGGGCATGCAAAACACAGGAACACAAGAACAATAAGCAGACATTTTATTAGTTATTAACACAAGTTATAAAGACAAATCAAAGCAATGATCATTAAATAACTACTAGTCATGTTTTAGGGAAAAAAGGGTAATACATATTACACATACACATTCAAAACATGCATGCAGCAATGACCGAACTGGCTAGTTGTCCAAAATTATATTATACAATAAAGGATTATAAACCAAGATATTAAAATACATTTACACACAAATAAAAAATATATGCAATCAATTTATTAACCCCTGAGGATTTTGTAAACCAGTCTGCTACAGAATCATATCACTAATGAATATATACTTAAAATAATACAATCAACAACACGTTGCAGTGTTGCCATACAATGTCCTAAAAACGGACAACAGCAGCTATACAATCAAAATAAGATCCAACCAATAAAGTATTTTGACCATTCTATTATAACCACGCATGAGGAGACCCAAGAAAAGTAGTGTTAGTAAGCATTAATGAGTTAAACAAGAACTATGTTGTCCATGGAGGCTTTTCCCCACGCACATAATATAGATCCTTGGATAATATTCCTATTCAAACATTTCATATTCGACAGGGTTCACCCGTATAGTATGAAATATAGCTGTATTACCACCCATTTCATCAGAGTGAGGAATGATAGTATCCCAAGGATTACTCCTGAGTGCTACGTGAAAGAAAAGATAATTTTTCTGGCATCCCTATGTGTTCATGGGTTACTTAAGGGGCTCATATCTTAAGTCTCTAAAAAGGTTGTCTGCTTTATTGCAGGCTCAATTTGCGTGATTTTGGATCTTGGGATACTTCCAAACAGTTTGGGAAAATGTTGCCCAAGAGGCATAACCAAAAATTTATTGTAAGTTTTATACATAACAAGTTTTTTTCCCCAAAGCACAATTACATTGTCATTCAACAATTTAATAACCCTTTGAAAGTCTTAACACACATGAAAGGCAGCCAATTGAACGGAAAAACCTCAATACCTCAAGGGTAAGAAACACAAAACACACAAGTTATTAAGTTGATTTAATATTGCAATCAGAAAGGAAAGGAGGATCAGCGTAACTAACCTAGATTCAGAATAAAATTGGAATCAAAGCACGATACTGATAAAAAAAAAAATCATTTATTTTACATAACATGAAAACTGTAATGATTCAGAACTAGTAACATACCTGAAATCCCATTTTGATACCCTGGCACAGATCGGTAGCCAAATCTGCCATAAGGCCTCTCATCTGCATAACCAGGTCTTCCACCTATTCCACGTTCATAGCCACTAAAATAATCATAGCCAAATCTGCTTTGTTCACATAATACGGTAATGTGAGGGGAAAAAATAAAAAGTTTGAAATTAAATGTGAAGAATAATAGCCTAGGGCGATAAAAGGTGGGAAGAGGATGCCAAAAGGGCACAAATTCAAACAAGAAAGAGGAAACACAAAGATGTCGAACATACTGGCATACACTTTCCCAAAGCAACAAACAATATGGACAAAACCCTATCATTTCCAGTGTATCTTCAGAATTATAATATAACAGAAATAAAATAAAATCAATATAGCAGCGCATTGTTCTCACCACATGCAACAATATTTCCTTAATAGTTCTCTTACATTTTTGTCACATGTAACCCATGCTTTCAACAAGCAAGATATTTGAAACTAGAGACTAGAGAAGTAGGCAGGCACTAAGATTCATCACAACTTTGGATGAAAAGGATTGAGGTAACTTTGGAATTCTCTCAGCAACTTACATGTCTTATAGTGAAACATTCCAGAGAGAAACACTCAATTTAAATCGGGGGGAAAAAAAAAAGATGCCTGGTTAACACCTAGAAAACACACTGAACTTTTTATTTCCTCTTTCTACATGACAACAACATATATAAGTTAAAATAAATCATCTGAGGCTATCATAATAACTTCATAGGGGACTCCAAAATTGACCAAGGTAACTATGCATCTTATTCCTACCCTAATGGCTAAGGAATTGATTAATTACTCAACAAATAAATGGGAGACAAATTCAAACAAGTAAACAACAACCACTGGAAACTACAATTTCATTTGAGAACTAAATATATATGATATATCATGGCATTTATTTTTCTCTTTTGGCAGAAATTTGAAGCATAATTGATTTCCAATAATTTGCAGTCTTTAGAAATGAGAAGGAGATTACATATTATATTGAGTTTAAACTTGTAGGAATGGTTCACAATAATTTCTCGAATTTTCAGTGCCTGCATTTAGTTTTAACTTCACAACACAAGCAAATTGCCATCTACGCCAGGAATTAGACACACATCAGCTCCATCAAGTACATTCGCAAGTAGCTCATTATTTCAACCTAATTCGCCTAATTGCTAATCAATAAAACAATATCAGTTTCATTCGAGTGAAGCCTATTAAACAACCCAAAGCCCTCCTAACCTGTCATCAGGTCCATAGCCGCGGGGACTCCCCCTTCTGGATCGCTTATAGGGTGGAGGTGATCGCCGAGAAGGAGAATAACGTCGGTCACGATACGGGCTGGGGCTACGACGGCGTTTGAAGTCCCTATCTCTGTCTCTCGGTGGTGGTGGGGGCGACATATTCCTGTCATAGAAATCACCCCCACGTCGATTCGGATGTCGATCATAATCCCTATCATCCCTCCTATCCCTATCCCTTCTCCGGGACGCCGCTTGCGGAGCGGGATGCGTCTGTGCTGACGCTGTTGGCGGAGGGGGAGGCGGAGGGAGGTCGTCATCCCCAGCGGAAGTGGCCGAGGGCGCCGGTGCCGGTGCCGAATCCGGAGCCGGAGGAGCCGATGGCGAAGCCGAGGAAGGGGATTTGTCAAGGGAATCGGGAGGAATGTTCATGACATCTGCCATGGGAAGATAAGGAGAAGGAGGAGAACGACGGTTCTGAGGGATAAGCCCTAGAATATCGGGAAAGAGAAAGGAGAACCAGAATTGGGGGAAATTGGAAGAGAAGCGAGGAACTGCGAAACCCTAACAGAGAGAAAGAAGTATAGTATACTTGTGGCAGTCGTCGTCGTCTTCAACGTTTCGCGGTTCAGGTACGGCCTAGGGGTCACGTTGGGGCTTCTGGCTGTGCCTCCAAAGTGTGGCGGAAGCAACATATCCAGCGCATCAGGGTTGGAGAGGAAAAAAAAAATTCAAAATAACATAAATAAATAAATAAATAATACAATTTTTGTGTTAATTAAATTCAATTAAATAAAAGGTGTATAACTGTGTATATAATACGGTTTATGACTCCAATTTTTTAATTGAAGGCCTTCAGCGTAACTGGTCAAGGGTTAGCTCATTTTAAACTCTCAAGTTTGAGTTCTAATGGGCAGTGACAAAGCTCGGACTTGAAACTGACGCACAAGATAATTTAATTTAAAATTATTAATTTTTAAAAATAATAATTTACTAATTAGAACTAAGAATTAAATTAAGATTAAAATTGTAATAACATAAATAAATTTAGTATCTTTTTTATTTTTAAAAATTATATTAAAGTGGTTGATGATTGATATATTCTTTTATGTAAATATACTTTTAATATTTTATCTTCATCGTTAAAATATTACATATTAAATAACAAAATATTGAGTCCAAATATTTGTTTATTTAATTCAAAGAATATAAATTTGTAAAATTTACATTATCATATTTTTAGCTTTTTTTTCAAAGTAAGAGGTGGCATCTTGATAAGTGTATATTTTATAATTAAATAAGTGTAAATTTTGGCTTGAATTTAATTATATTTATTAAAATTTTACATTTATTTAATTAATATTTAATTTTTTTCTTACTACTTAATTATAAGATAAAAAATTTAATATAAAATCTATTCATATATTTTTATTTTTTATTTTGTAGGAAAATAATAGATTAAATAAAAAAGAAAATGTAAAAGAAAAGAAAAAAAAGAATATATATATATATATATATATATATAGTGATGGAACAACTGCTTCACAAGGGAGCAATTCTCACGTGTGGGGAGGGAGGGAGGGAGGGAGGGAGAGGCGAAAGATCATAGGAGATGATACATTGGATGTCATTTATACTAATATAACAACTGCTTCACAAGGGAGCAGATCTCACGTGTGGGGAGAGAGGGAGGGAGAGGCGAAAGATCATAGGAGATCATACTCCCTCTGTCAAGAGAGAGGAAGCCAATCACTTACTTAAGTGTTTTAAGAATTTTTTCTGAGATATTTAGAATTCGTAAAAGCATTCTAAAAACTTAAAGAGAGAGCATTGAGGAACTCTACAAATTATAATTATTTCTTTTTTACTTCTACTTCTTAATTTTCTTTATGATCATTTTTCATGATTGAGGATTTTAAAATGGTGTTATTTAATTTTATTTTGTATTTTTAAATTACCCAGTTGAGATAAGAATGTAACGTAATTGAGGAGCTAGTTTTTTATGTTTTTTATTTTGACTCCTTGCATTTATATTTATGAATATTTTTGCTTTTTTCAATTATATTTATTTCTCCTATTCTTTTATCAATTTAATGACTGGCCACCATTTAATCAAATCTATGAGTAATCTTAATGGATTAAGAAGTGAAGAGAGAACTTAAATCTAGAGAAATAAGCATAAATAACTAAGTTAAAGATAGTTTTAAAAATTTGTGGTGATTTAAACTATAGTTTCACGGTTTAATTAGTTGCTTGAGTATCATGGAAACGAATTCAACACTAATTAAAAAGAAATTAATAATTAGGAAAAATATTAGGACATTTTAGAAATAGTTGTCATTATAAATGATTAGAGTGAACTCAAAGGATAAAAACTAGCAACTTATAGGGTGAATTCTCAACCACAATGCTTCAAGTGATTGTATTTTCATCATCATTATTTTCTTGATTTATTTTTATTATTTATATTTTCATCAAATTATCCATTTTATATACTTTTTGAACTATTAATTATTTAAATTAGTAAAAATGTAACTTTCTTATGGGTTTCACGCCTGAAATATTTTGAATAATTTATTACTATAATTTTGTTCACTTGCAAGAGCGATCACATCCCCTCAAGACATGGCTCCACCATCACTAATGGGGATGTTCTCAATGCAAACATGGATTGTTATTCATAATATTAAAACTAATGCATGCTTTTAAATTTAAAGAATACTCGATTGGTCATGTATACTAGCAAATAAAGTAGGAAAAATGATAATAAAATCCTTCTAAGTTATATAAATAATAATATGATCCTTCAAAATGTCATAATTTTAATAAAGTCCTTAAAGACCTCTTTGTCAATAAATTTTAAAGTGAAATGACCATTTTACTATTATTGAAAATAACAAGCTCCAATCACAACTTTTATTTGTAAATCACAAAAATTGAATAAGAAATTATAATTTATCAAGTGTAATTTCTATTATTGAAAAATAAGTTTTCAAAATAACAAACCTCATTCACAATTTTTGTTTAAAGAATTACAATTTTATTTAAAGATCATAAAAATTGAATAAAAAATTATAACTTGTTAATAAAAGTAAAATGACATTTTTAATTTAAAATTTATTAACAAACAGGTCTCTAGAGATTTCAATGGAAGTATAGTATTTCGAGAGATTAAATTGTCATTTATATACTTCGAAAAGATTTTATCATCATTTTTTCAATAAAGTATTCATATAATTAGAACTCATGATTTTGTAGGTTATATATCAAATTCTTATTAATTATATCAATCATTATCGAACAAAATATGAAAATGAACACTATCCATATGTTTCTCCATCCATGTGAAGGAGCTGGTTTGCGAGTACCATCTTACTCTTTCATGTGTCTCATATCTACCAAAGTCATGTTCTTCCTTCATGGTTGATTGTTTGCTTCTTGCGTGAGATTCATGGATTATGTGCTTCGTGGCACTGCATGATATTGCAGGTTTGAGCAAATTGCAAAGGATTTTCTTTAAGCTAGTGGTTTTAAGAAGAAGCATCTGCTTTCAAGTTGTTTTTTCAAAAGCAATAAACTCCTTTAACTCTTTTGAGAGTTTGAATGATTGGAGATTTAGGATGGACTTATGTTTAAGTAAGGGTGGACAAATGTCCCCTCAACTTCAAACTAGCAAGTCAGTTGAGTGATAGATTTATATATCACTCAATTTAAACCCACAGCAAGCAAGACTATATACTGAACAAACAAAACAAAGAGAGGGGAGAGGAAGAAACATAAGAGACCTTTTCAAAAGTTTTATATTTAAGTACTGAGATTCAAATTAAGTGTGTGTTTGGTTTTTAATTTGTCAAAAGTTCATTTGGTGAACGTTCATTTGGTAAAAGTCGATTTAATGAAAATTAGTTGTTGTAATAAAATTTGTATTTTGATATATTTTTTCAAAAGTCAATTTGATATACTAAAAGTTGTTTGGTTTATGATAGTGAAACATGCTTTTAAATGTACAATTACTAAAAAAGATATTGATTTAAGATGATTTGTAATTTTTATTATACAAATGTAATATATTTAGAATATATAAAAATATGATAAAAATTTTAAATAACATAAATTTTGATCTATAATGCTAAAAATTTGATCTTTAGTTATTTCTATTTTTTAATTTGTAATTTTAAAAAATGTGATAAAGATTTGTAATTTTTATTATACATTAATACTAAAAATTAACATGATTAATTATTTAATTTATAATGCTAAAAAATTGATACCTAATTATTATTGAAATAATAATTATGTTTTTAATGAATTAACTATTTTTAAATAAAAAATAAGAGATTAAATTTGGAATAATATGGTCAAATAACATTCTACTTTTCAAATTCACTTTTCAAAAGTTTTAAATAGTTATATTTTAAAAATTTATTTTCAACTACTGTTTGAATGTACTTTTAAAATATACTTTTTTTGTAAAATATTTTATCCAAATAACTTGTAATTTTTTAAAATTAAATTACTTTTTGAATGTGAAAAACAAAAAAAACCAAATGGACCCTAAGTTTACATGCTAAAAATGAGAGACATTAATTTCGTATTGTCGGTTGAAGAAGAACAATGATAGAGGAGAGAGATTGTGTGAGAAAAAAGTGAAGTAATACATGAAAAGATGATGTCATAAATGGGTGGATTTTTAATGTAAAGTATTTTTAGAAGTAATATTTGGTCTAGAATATAATATATTGAATATTTTTTATATTTTTTCAACTATATCCTTATATTTATTATTCCTTTTAAAAAACGGTCAATTATAATTTCAATTGTTATCATTAAGTCATTTACATAGAATACTTAATAATAGCGTAATTGCAAAGATATATAATTTTTTAAAAGATTAAAATCTTAACTAACTTGAATGGATCTATAAAATAATTATTAATACCTTATATTATGTATTGGATGGAGTATGAGTTTTTTTAATCATCATTTATTTGTTTGTAATTAGTTAAAAGTTGATAAAATGATTTAGCACGATATGATTATAAATTTTAAAGTACAATATTCTCCACACCCTTCTACTTGTCATAATTATTTATACAGATCTTTACTTTATTTTGAAAACATACAGTTTAATTCAATCAGCTAACTCCATTAGGAATATTCTAAAAAAAAATTCTAAAAACTTATCTTTGAATTAAAATTTATATTTAAACAACTTTTATTTACTAATTTACCCTTCACTCTAATAAATCATAAATTATATTATTTTGACATTTATATAATATGTAATTTCATAAAGAACATGTTACAAATTTTAAATTTTAAACTTAAATTATTTATATAATCTCTCAAACTTAAATCATTTTATGTTACATGAAGAAAAAAGATATTTTCTCCATTAAAAAATGTAAGGTATTTTTAACCGAATCTCATCCTCAATAAAATAGTTACTTACTTTTAAACTAATCCTATCTTTTTATATTTACCTTTATTAAACACCTTACAATAAATATAAAGTCATTATTAATAGAAGCACTTTAAAAAAAAGGCAATGATTACGTTTTAAAAAATTAAAAATATTTTATATTTTTTAACATTCAATTCCTTAAAAAATGCCTTATATTTTTTAACGGAGGGAGTATATGTTTGAAAACATTTTTAGTAATTTTGAAAAATATAAATAAATAAGTTTCAATAAATTTGACAAAAATTAAAATTTTATAATATAATAAAACTTTCAAAATATATTTATTACTTTTTATTTTAATACAAAATAATATTTTTTTGAAAATATAGATTTTTAGATAATTTTTATATCTATTAAAGAGGGGCATTTTGGTTAAATTAAAAATTTAAAACTAAAACTTGACAATCAACTAACGGTTGAATTGATGAAAATAGAACATCAAGTATACAATAGAGGTTTATGTAATATATATTTTAATTTTAAGATGAATTTATATGAATTTTCAAAATGAGGGGGAGATTTGTGTAATTAAGATATAATAGAATGGTGATCAATATATTTTGCTCTAAATTTTATAATTTTTAGTGGAAAATATAATTTTTTATAAGATACTTAATAGTATAAAATTTAAATATATTTTTATAAATAATAATTATTATACTTTTTAAAAAAATCTATTAAGTATTGTCCATACTAGGCAAAGGTCCTAGATCTACCCTTATAAATTAGAAGCATCTTAAAACTATTGATCATTATGCTCCATATATTGAAGATATATCAATCAATGATGAGACTTCTTATAAGGCAATTGTTCTCTTTGGATTAGCTCATTGGATGATCTCCTTACTATTGTTGTCGTTTTGTTTGTGTTTCATTGTAGCGAGTTTTTGTTTTTATGGTTTAAGCTAATATTTTTACTATAAGGCCATGGAAAACCTTTGCGAGAGAGAAAAAAATCAGATCATGTCAAATTTCATAATAGGGATTTGCAACATAAAGGTGAAGAGTTAAAAATAACAAAATCTAAATTTTCTTAGGAGGCCAAGTGAGCTAGTATGTCAATGCATCTGTTAGCTTTCTTGAATATTTGATTTAAGGTAATGATCTAATCTTTCATTACAAATTTTCGAACTTTCTTAATAGTTTCTAAAAGAGGGTGATTATAAGAGATATTACAATGAATAAGTGAGAGAGCTTCCGTAGAATTATAATGGATATTAATTTTAGTAAATCGTGCATTTCAACAAAGCCGAAGCCTTTCTAAAATGCCAAAGAGTTCTGTCATGGTGCTGGGCTGGTAAGTAAGATATTTAGAAAATCCATTAATCCAGTTACCTTTGTTGTCCTTTATATGCTACCACAAGTTATAGTTCCATTGAATTTGACAGATCTATCAATATCGAAATGGATCCAACCTGCTTTTAGAGGACTCCATTGTGCCTATGATCTTTTACCATCACAACCAAGGATACTAACTCTGATTGAAGCCTCATGTAATTGATAACTTAATGAGTACTAGAAAAAGCAATGTCCATATCCTAGTTGATTTCTTTAGAATAAATCTTTTGCATTGCACTTTCCAAATGTTCTAGCAGACTCAAGCAAAAAGCCTCTACATGGGATGCTTCTTGTGTTCAAGTTGTTGGCCTTAATTTTCACATTTTAAATTATCCAATCCTACACAAAAACAAAAAAGAATGCATTAAGTTTAGAAGGTTTGACAAGTTTAAGCCAAATGTTACAAGTTTCTTTGCAATCTTACAAAATATAAATTGAGGAATTAGGTGAGTTGCACCCAAAAGTGCATGTTTGTTGATGAGAAGTACTTCCTTCAATAGTTATGAAATTGATTTGAAGTCTATCTCATGCAAGTTTCTAAAGAAAGTACTTTATTTTTTCATAAGTAGGCCATTTCTAAATTCTAAACCAAATGTCAATATTGGCTTGATCCTTTTTGAGGTACAAGGCCTTATAAGTAAATTTAATAAAGAAATTTCCATCAGAAAAAGGTTTTCAAAAAATAACATCTTCATCACCATGGGGGTTGGGTGATTGCAAAAGTGCAATATGACTTAATACCTTAGGGTGAATGTGGTGATTTAGGAGGCTAAAATTCCATTCTCTTAAGGGATTGCGCAGATAAAAGGTTTAAGCCAAATTTTGATTTGTAATCTTTCTAGTCTTTTTGTTGTTTTTAGCTAGAGAAATAACAATTAGGGACCTTGCAAAAAATCATTTGTAACATCAGTTGAAAATTTATAAAATTTCAAAAAAAAAAACCATGATCCTTATTTGTAATTAAAAAATATGAATACTCAATTGAAAAATTTAGTAAATCTAGTTGAAATTATTTGTAGCATTAATTAAGAATTTACAAAAGTTAGTTGAAAATATTAATTTTTTCTTGTCAATATACGGATAAACCATTTTAAAAATTAAGTAAATATATTTGGGATTATTCATAATGTTAGTTGAGAATTTATGAGAATCAATTGTTAACCGCAAGCCAATTACTTATGATTTCTTACTTTTAATATATAATAAATCACTTGCAAAATCTACCAAATACACTTGGGATTATTGAGAATTTATAATGGTCGGTTGTAAATCATAAGCCAGTTATTTGTGAATTTTTTCTATCGCATGAGAAATCAACAAAAGATGGTTGAAACTTTTTGTAACGTTAGTTTGAAATTTATTAAAGTCTGTTATGAATTTAAGCTAATCAATAAAAAATAATTTATTACAAGCAAGGACTATGGTTTGTTATTGAAATTTTAACTATTTAAGGTCTATAATTGTCATTAATGTCTTTAAAGGGCACCTAATTGTCATTTTTAATTTTTAACTTGATGGACTTGAGTAGAGAGTTCAACTGTTCTTCTTGAACCTTTGCTTTGTTATAATTATTTTCTTGATTTAATAAACTTAGTCTTTTCATTGGAAAAAATTGCGATAATGGCATGATATGTAGAGTTTGTTTGTTTTTATTTTTAAAATCTTTTTTTATTTTTAAAAATAGAAAAATTTAAAAAATTAGTTTGTTAAGTGTTTTTGATTCAATTGTTTTTAAAATAGTTTTATTTTTTGTTTTAAAAAAAGAATAAAAAGAAATACAACTTGTTTTTGTCCTATTTTTTTATTTTTAAAATACAATACATTTGATTATTAAAAATTACATTTATTTTGACTAATTTTTATGATAAATCATCACTATTAATTGCTTATAATTATTATTACCAATTTATTTTTTAACTCTAACACTATTTTTAAATTAACAAACCTTTATGAATTTTCATTTTATTTTATATTGAAAAAAAATTTTACAAATTATATTATAAAACAGTTTTTAAAAACGTAAAAAACAAAATCCAACAAGCCCTAAACGCAGGTGTTTGCGGTGCGCTAAATAGAAAGTCATCACTGTTTTTAATCATTTTTCTTTTATCTCAAATTATCCCTTTTTCCAAACTATATCCATCAAATAGTAGTTCACCATTTTTTTTAAAAAAATTAAACTGACCAATCTGATTTTAGTAGCATTGATTATTATAAGAAACTATCCATTTGGATGGTACCTCTTTTCTTTATTAATTTTTTTAATCGTATTTTCCATCAATTCCATTCACACATAATTTAGCCAAGGAATGCAACCTTTTTTTTTTTTTTGGGGGGGGGGGAATGAATTCCAATTCTCATTCAATATTACACAACTATTATCAATGAACTAGAATGCTCTGCAGTACTAATAATTAACAATTTGTTAAAAAAAAAAAACGTGTGGCTTGTTACATCTTTTTACATAGATATATTGACGATTACATGAAATGTTCAGTGTCATTCTAAAAACTAGGCTTCTTGATAGAAATTGTCCATAGTAGATCTGAATCAGACTGAACTGTTACTATATCTTCTTTTACAATATTCGATGTGCTTACTAAACCACCAAATTTCATCTTCGTCTCATCTGAAACAGGTAAGATGAGATGTTTGATATTAGATTCGTACCCAAAGAGATCACAGCTGAGGGTAAACTAATCAAGTAGTGAAAAGATTTATGCATCAGAACCATCACATCCCTATCAAACCAAAGCATCATATAAGCACATTGTGTTATCTTAGAAACTGCTAATAAGAGTAGTTAGTCATCAGAACACTCACACAAGAAGGGTGAATCCTTTTGTAACACAGACTAGTTTTGCCATATAAAAATCAATTTTGGTGGATTATCAGGGGCAGTAATTATCACCCCTTTAATAAGTGCAGTTTGTTTGTTTTTGGGTCAATCCTTTAACAAGTGTAGTTAATCACTCAACCAAAGACCAATAACTCAATTACTAAGGAGGTATGTGAGTTAAATGAATTAAAAGAACATTTTTGCCCTTCAACTATTCCTCAGAAGCACCTGTAATCCTAAACTTTCAAGTGTTGCTATTTCTCTCTTTAGCTTTTAAAAATGATGCATTAAGCACCCTGCAGTTAAAAATTTAATTTTAATTGTTAGTTGACTAGAAAAATTAAAAGAGAGAGAGAGAGACCTAAATATTACAAGAAAGGATCCATAATAATCCAAATAAATACCCTATAAAAAAATTAATATCGATTAAATCCCTAAAATAATAGGTGATCAAAATTGTAATTTGGTCTTTCACATGGGTAAGAAATAACATTTGTATCATGTTATTTACATGTAATTTAGGGGTCTTAATTAATATTAATTTTCTTATAACATATTTATGTGTAATTTTATGGATCCTTTTTTTTGAAATTTTTGAGATCCTTTCCTGCAATTTTAAAGTCAGTTAACGGTTATAGTTAATTTTTTTAATGATAAGGTGCTTCAAACATTGAAGAAAAAAACTGTACCACATGAAGGTTTAGGATACCAAATGCTCTTTAAGCGAATGGTTGAAAGCAAAAATGTCCTTTAACCCTAGTTAAATTAGTGGTCTTGGTTTAAGCCTTGCGTATGCAATTACTTTAAAAGCTTGTAGGGAAAACTTTGCTACCCTTTTGGTCCTTCCCAACTCAACCCAAATTAGTTGAAACCCAATATGACTTCCGAATATCAGGCCATTTCATGCTCAAAAGACAAAAAACAAAAAACAAAAAACAAAAAACAAAAACAAAACAGGAAAGGAAATTCTTACTGCTACACTACCACTGCCATATAAAAATTAATTTTCATTGTGGAATCTCACAGGCAATAATTATCATTCCACTCATGAGAGGTTAAGACAACCCTCTTTTCATTTAAATTTAATTAGAAGCTTTGAAATAAAACAATCATTATAGTAATAATAATAATAATCATATAATGCATATATGATATACTTACAAAGATCCCATTGGAGTCCAGTGGTAGTAGAACTACTAGATGGCATCCCAATGGGGATGAGTCCGCAATGCGGCCCCTCAGCAGAAGATCGAATATAAATCTTATGATGGTAGTTCATTGGAAGAAGTTGAATGAGGCAGTCATCAGATAGAAGGATAATTCGAGTATCTGGGAAATGGCACAGAACATTAATATTCCCAATCTCGTGGTCAAATCGCCCACCAAGTGCTCCAGTTACAACAATCCTTAACTACCATACATTGCAGGAAATAAAGAAAATCAATTATGGTATCAAAGAGTGCCAGGCCAAGACTGCTTCCTTGAAAACTAAAGTCATGATACAATGAAATATGCAAATAAAAGAAATAGAAATCAAGACGTTGGAACTGATTTAACTTACTGATGATTTATCCATATTTGATGTAAGGTCACATATATGTGCAACACATTTGTGTAAATCTGTGGTGTCCTGATCATGAGATTCATCTATTATCTTAGTTCCCTGCAAGCGGCAAACAAGCATACATGACTGAAAGATTTCAAGTAAAGAATAAAGCAAGTGACAACAAAGTGTTGAGAAGAAAGTTGAATTCAATTCATCCCATCCAGTAGGGAAACATGCACACATAAACCTACAATGAGAGAAGAAAAGCCCATACAAACACAGAATTAGAGCCGTACCAGGTTTTTATAGAAGTCAAGTACTTCAGACCGAATTGAGTCCATGTCACCTTTGATTGCATCTGGCACGTACCTAATAGAAACCTATCATGTTGTTAAATGAAGTCTGCAACTGGAAGAACAAGATAGCAAACCATACTGTCATCAAAAGAAGCATCAAATTAATTGCCTTTAGAACACTAGAAAGTCAAAATTACTTTTTTTTTTTAAGTCTAATCTAATCCAACTTGACTCCTCAGATCAAAGGCGGAATTATGAAATGACATTGATACTAAAAGCAAGATTGCATTCTGTGTACTCTGTACAGAAACATATTATTAGAAAATATTTTAATCAATCAACTCACAGACATGACGACTGCTACTTCTAGAGGACATATAAGATGTGTTCTATATTTTTGTCAATGAACAGTAATATAAACGATTAGATTAACAAAATATCAAATGCGATGCCCAGCAATTCAATCGTGAAAATGAGCTAGTAGTAAGTGCCTTGTTCGTGGGTACCAATAGTTGGAGCAATTTATCAAAAGAACATTTGCCGCACGATCACTTCCATAGATGATAGCATGGATAAATTTCCTTGGTTCAACAATTGGCCAAATAGTTCAACGTACACAGTAGTAATTTATATACACAATTATTTGGCTTTCGTATGTTTTCTCAGTTTACAGTTATTCACAAGTAGCACAAAGCAAGTTAGCATCTACTTAGAGCTAGCATCATAGTTTAACTCAGTTACTTAGAACTAAATTAACAAATGAAATGTGCAAAATGCAAATGCCCAACTAAAAAAAAAAAAAAAAACAAAAGTGGCAAAGGACTATACACTAGGCATAAAAATTTAACTGAATTATTTATTTAGCTAATAAATTATTAGGAACAAAAAATGAACCTGGTTTGAACATGCGAGGCATCATAAGGACAGAAGCAGAGGCATTTCATCATACACCCGATTGGCACCCCCATCAGCACAAACTCATATTTGTGCTGTGGTGCAGAAAAACACAAAACGACAATGGAGAAAAATACAACAAACATCAGATGATCCAAACTTAGAAGAAATCAAATTCCGTCCACAGAATAAGAGTGAAGAGTTGAGGTGCAAAAACAAGGTACCATGCTCCCAAAGCAGAGGAGTGAATCTCGGCAGGTGCTGGTTAAGAATAATGAGTGCGTAGGTTAAAGAAGGTTGATTCTCTCTGGTGGAATCACCGGTAGAAGGAAGGTTGAAGAGTGAGACATGGACTCCATAATCTGCAACATGAGATGGCTATTAGCACCAAAACCATTGGTTATTGAAAATTAATGGCGGCTTTAGTAGCAGCGGATCTGCCTTGTTGGCTTATTCATGCCCTCTGCTTGTTACTAAAAATAACAATATTACTGAAACCAATACCACCACTACTGAAGTCGACCAACCATCAAGTCAAAACGGACATGCACCTCCCAGTTTACAAGTTCACTCTCCACATTTCCCACCTAGGGTCACATCTGTGATTATGTTCCTCTTTTTGTTGGTGAGTGCTTATTTCCGTTGACAGGGAAACCTACTTAACTAGAGTAACCTCCATGAAATTTCATTCACATGACAATATGGATACCTGATCAAATAAATTCTATTTTCAATAACCATTACAAAGTTATCTTACAGGAATCATTCTGTCATACAAACACCACCAAAAATAAATTTTCAATTTTACTTTCTTCATTTTCTTCAAGTTTTGTAGACAATATGGTTCAGTTCAAAGATCTTTTCAGTATATAAAAATTTTCCAACGTTTTCGTGGAATTGTGTCAATATCTTGTATTTATTATTTTAACAATAAAAAGTAGTTGGCAAAAAATAGCAAAAAGATGCTGACTAATCACATGTATATACTTGAGAGAATTTGAATCTAGTCAAAGTCTTTGTGAATCATACTTTTACTCTCATGTATGTGAAGACATGACCCAACTGAATAACTGGTGAAAAAAACATTACAAAACTACTTGATGTTAAAATCCCTTAAAAACATTAAGAAACAAATTCAAAGTAGACACTACATAAGACTTAGTGATTTACTAGATATCTAGTCTAGGAGATAACATAATGCTAACAATTTGGCAATGCTGCTGCTTTATTATCTTTGATATCTTGACAGATGCATCTCGTATAAACAATCCACTACTTTTTAGTAAAGCTCATACGTCCACTATGCCAGACAAGCCAAAACCAATCGGTACGGGCATTTTCATATTGCTCCAAAGCTTCAAAACCTTGAGAAAGCAACAACAATTTATCTTTATTAGGACAATGTGAGTACATGCAACATAACTCACGGACCTGATGCTGATAATCAATAACTAGAAAACCAGCAATAAATGTCAGTTTGACTTCAGCTATAGCTAGCCATATCATCCCGATTCATAAGCAAGCGCAATAAGATTTATACAATTCCCATGTATTGAACGCCAAGATCTAAACAAAACCATTTTCGCTACTGAACGATGCATAATCATCAAAATCCGCAAGCGACATCAATAAACCTCGCCAGACACACCCAAAAAACAAGGGGACGATCATTAATAGGATACAAAACGTAGATAGTTGTTACTGTCTGCAACAGAGAAAGGAATCGCACCGTATCTGAGTCTCGCAAAGAGGACGAGTGAGTGAGAGATACAGAGAACGAGGGCTGTGTACGTGGCTGCTTTCTCTACCCAAGGCGAGGATGACTGAGTTAATGGCGAACATCATTGGCCGCAATACATTTATTTAATGAAAATTCAAGGCCTGTTTGTACACAAGTCTCAATTTAAAGAGACTTGACATTGAGATTGAAATTGAGGAGGGGTTTTAAAATTATCTTTAATATATAGTAATATTTAAAAAAATATTTATTTTTATTTTATAATTACATATAAATAATGAGAAGACTATAATACCCTTAAAATAATTAAAAGAAAAATATGTAACCTAGAGCCTATAACTCATCTCACACCCCATCAATTTCCTTTTTCCCTGAGAGCACGGCAGGGGCACAAAAGACCACTATTTTTCTTGTTGCTTTTCCTTTTTTGGTTTTTTCATTGTCTCATCTGATGGACATTAAAGGAAAGTATTGAAGATGAAACTAGTGATGCATGCGGGTTATAACGGCACAAAAAGGCCTTCATTTTTCCTCTTTTTAGACCGGCGATGTAGATCAACTAACTAACTAAGACCTTCCTTTTTTGTTTTTCCAATCACCGGCAATTTATGCTTAAACCCATCATCATAACCACCTTGTGCCATCTTTGTTGTTGTTCTTCTTCCTGGTTCAATTCAAGCATCAACATTGTGCCTATGTGTGGTTGACATCATTATCGCCATCATGACTGTGAAGAGGGGTGGAGGCTGGAAGGCAAAAGGAGAGATGAGAGGGAGCGGGTGGAGGGCAAAAGGAGAGACAAGAGTGAGGAGGATGGAGGGCATTTTGATTAAAAAAAACAATTAATCCAAGATTAATTTTTCTATACTAAAAGTAGGTGATATTGAGTAATTCTACTTTGATGTAATTAAAATTGAGATTAAATTTTTCATTATTTCATATTAAATATAAAAAACTTAATACCAATCTCAGTCTCATATAGGCCTAAGACTTTCCAATAAAAAAAAAAATCACACATAGGTTTTAATGAAAGACTATTTGTCAATTAAAAAAATTATTTACTAATTAGTGAATAACTTTTTGTAATGATATTTACTAATTAATGAAAGATTATTTATTAATTAAAAAATATGGGTATTATAGTTTTTTTTCATCTAAATATATTTTCAAATCAATATTTAAATTATGTAATGATATTTCATAATTTTTTAATATTTACTTGAAAATAAATATCCTAACTGTCCTTCAGTGATATTTTTCCAAATAAAAATTGGAAGGGCATGGATATGCTTTTTGAACCCAAAAGTTTAAGAAAAGTGAAATAATGAAATAATAATTTTTTAATATATTTTCTCCACAATGAAAAAAGAAAAATGAAATAACGATAAAATGTTCCTAACAGGGCGAGGGCGTGAATAGCATGCCCTCGAAGCTCGATCTCGTTCGAACTTCGAACACCAATCTCTCTATTGCGTCGGGTCTCTACCCCGGAGTCCAATCCAATGACCTCGAAGCTGATTGCTTCCCATCTCCGGCGACACCTTGCTAATTCCACCCATCAACTCCGCCGCCAGCTACTGTCCACATCGGCGGCGGCGGCGGCGGCTGAGCCTCCACACCATGAGGATTCAACGGGAATCACGATGAAAGGTGTGAAAATTTCTGGAAGGCCTCTTTATCTGGATGTGCAAGCAACTTCTCCTGTAGACCCCTGAGTGCTCGATGCCATGCTTCCTTACAGCATGTCTCGCTTCGGCAATCCTCACTCTCGCACACATATGTACGGCTGGGAATCCGATTTGGCTGTCGAAAACGCACGCGCTCAAGTAGCATCTCTGATTGGCGCCTCCCCGAAAGAAATTGTTTTCACGTCCGGCGCAACGGAGTCCAATAACATATCCATTAAAGGGGTCATGCATTTCTATAAGGACAAGAAAAGGCACGTTATAACGACGCAGACGGAGCACAAGTGTGTGCTTGATTCGTGCCGTCATCTTCAGCAGGAGGGATTCGATGTTACGTATCTTCCAGTCGGGTTCGATGGTATCATTGACCTGGAGAAGCTTAGGTCAGCTATTAGGCCTGATACGGGTCTTGTATCTGTCATGGCGGTAAATAACGAGATTGGGGTGGTTCAGCCTGTTGAGGAAATTGGGAAAATTTGCAAGGAATTTAATGTTCCGTTTCATACCGACGCAGCGCAAGCGTTGGGGAAAATTCCGATTGATGTGGAGAAGTGGAACGTAAGTTTGATGTCCTTGAGTGGGCATAAAATTTATGGGCCAAAAGGTGTTGGGGCATTGTATCTTAGGAGGAGACCGAGGGTTCGAGTTGAGCCCCAGATGAATGGTGGTGGACAAGAGAGAGGAATTCGAAGCGGGACGTTGCCTACACCTTTGGTTGTGGGGATGGGTGCGGCATGCGAGCTGGCGATGAAGGAAATGGAGTATGATGAGAAGAGAATTTCTGCTTTGCAAGAACGACTACTGAACGGTATTAGAGAAAAACTGGAAGGGGTGGTGGTGAATGGGAGCATGGAGAGGCGCTATGCAGGGAATTTGAACTTGTCGTTTGCATATGTTGAAGGGGAGAGTTTACTGATGGGGCTGAAGGAGGTGGCCGTCTCAAGTGGCAGTGCTTGCACTAGTGCGAGCTTGGAGCCCTCGTATGTTTTGAGGGCACTGGGAGTAGAAGAGGACATGGCTCATACTTCTATTAGGTTTGGTATTGGCAGGTTCACTACAGAGGCAGAAATTGACAGGGCAATCGAGATCACGGTTCACCAAGTGGAGAAGTTGAGAGAAATGAGCCCACTTTATGAAATGGTGAAGGAAGGGATCAACCTCAAGGAGATTCAGTGGGCGCAACACTGATAATCTTGCCATGATCATCACATAGGGCATTATGGGACGTTATGGATTACGTGCCCTTGGACAGGAGATAGTCAAATAGATTGTCTGCTCAACCAAATAAGTAACTATTGTTCATTCAAGTAGCCTTATATAAATGCCTTAGAAAGTACAGTTGCTGACTTGGTGTAATACTTTCAATCTTGGCTCTCACATGGCAGATGCTGAAATTAGAGGATAATGACATGATATGGAGTATGTGTCCATAGTCCATATTTGACAACATATCAAAATTTGACTTTCTTTTCTTGTTTCATTTGTAACTGAATCTTTATTTTGTATGCCATTTTCTATTTCTTGTGATTTATTCATTCATAATTGAATCTTTGACGGAGATGCAATCACTTTTTTATGCCAACTCATGGATTTCATACAATGCCAAGTATGGTAAAAAGATGGCACAATGATAATAACTTAAATGCATTGTTTAAAGCTCAGTAAATATGATAGAGCTCATGATTTTGCTAAGACCTATAAGAGGAAATCAAGGAAGGCAAGAGGTTAAAAGATAACATTATTGTTGGTTCAGATGTTTGCCCTTCGGATCCTGGTTATGAGGGGAAAAAAGAAAGTAATTGATGGCCTAGTGATGTGCTAGAGTCCCAGTGATGGTTAAGGGTCTTCTAGGGGTAAGGGCTGTGCTAGAGTCACTGTTTAGGTCTTTAAATATTCCTCCTTGCCTAGAGAGAGGGGGGGATTATTTTGAATATTGAGAGTGGTGAGGAGAGCTCTGGCCTCTCGAATGTCAGGTTGGGGGTGGAGGAAGTCATCTTTCTTCATCATTTTATCTTCTGCTTAGTGTATGTTTGTAAGTGAGTGACTTATATTTTGTGATTGTTGATTGGTGGAGTGTATTTTGTGCTGTTTCTGTTTCAGTACGTTGTAATTTTCAGTTCCTTATTTCGCTGTAATCCAACTTTGCTATTCGGTAATAGTAATTTTCAGTCCCCATTTGTGGTGTAGTTTCTGGTTTATGCTTGTTTAAAGCTTATTAGAATAGAGGGTTCCATCAAAATATTACAGGTTGTCATATGATTTGTGTCATCGGGTTTTCCTAAACAATGCAGGATATAATCTGCCTAAAATTTGAGCACTTTGAAATGAAAGCTTTTTAAATAAATGGCATTTTAAAGCTCTATAGAAGAGATGCTCATATAAGCTCTTGTACAGTTATCATGAGAAGATAACTTCATATCTGAAAGCTCTATACTATTAATTTCCAAAAGAAAAGCTCTATAGCATTTAAAGCACATATGGGCACCAAAAATTAACTATCACCAAACAAGGACATAACAAGTTCCTTTGCTAATTAACGGCTCAGATTGTCTCGCTTATACAACACAGTGCATCTCATCAAGTATGATTTGTCCTACATTGCTTCAAATCACAGCAAATGAAGATAAACTCATTCAGACCGGTTCCCTCTCTTCTTGCATCAAATTTCCCCAGTTCTACATTAAATTGTCAGACAAAAGTATTAGATGATCAATTCATGCACAATCTTAATTTCATATGTGGTAAATGATGGGAGATTTTTCCTCGTACCTGGTGCAGAGTTTTTCCCGTTGGGTTTTTTTTTTTATGTTAACCATTCCTATTTCTATCTGAGAACATTACATTTACACTTCCTTATCTCCTAGAAAGTGTCATGTTTTGATCATTTTACTGCTTTTAAAATTCCTATGTCAATATGATTTGCTGGCCTCTTTTCTTAACAATAATATTCAGGACCCAGGTGGTCAAAGGTGAAAAGCACCCTCAAGGCATTAGACCTATAAAAAGCCTTAAAAAAATTATGGTGTGAAGCTTTCTATGCGTTTGAAGTTGATTCATTTTTCTCTGGTGCGTGAATCTAGTATCTAGTATTTATTAGAAATTAGTTGAAGCGAAGAAAAATAAATTTGAGGTAATTTGCTCCATTCCTGATGCATAATCTGTATGCTGACTCTCCTGCATCTTAATATTTCTTCAAGCTATAAACAAATATTAAGCCTCAACTTTTGCCGCATGGACTGAATTGACTTTGTCCGTTAGTTTGATAAGTACAGTACTTGGGATGAACTTGTAATTAGCTTTCTGCAACTACAGTGGTGTTACAAGGAGGTTGCTTTAGTATGACGTGTGGAGGCAAAAGTTCCTAATTGTCAAATTTAAAATTTGATGGCATGGCTTCACCTGGTTCAGCAGTCCACTTCTTTTGCTCCTATGGGATGAATACTCAAGGAAAATATTAGAGAACCAGAACATCATTGAAGGCAAAACTATGATGGGCGGAGAGAGGAAAGGACTACATCCTGCAGAGAGCTGTCTCTCTGCATGGCAGTTTTGAATTCTTCAAAGGTGACTTTTCCATCACTGTTGGCATCCATCAGGTCAAATATCTCATCTAATTTGCCTGGTTCAAAGATATCAGCAGGCAGGCAATCATCTGGCAAAGCCTGTTCAGTAAATTGAAGTGTTAAAAGAAGCAAGCTACAAGGGAATATAATTTTATTGAGTGGAAGGCTCATTACTCTGAGCATGGATGCTACTTCTTCCTTAGTAATGCACCCAGATCGATCAGTGTCATACATCTGTTGTCCAGGAAATAAGACGCAAATTAGATCAGCTGGTTCATTTATTTTTCTTTGCGCTATATAGGTTTTGCGAGGGGTTAATCAATATAAGAAGTTTTTTATTGTTTCTTTATTTTGTCATTGGTTTCAGGATTCATTTCCAACTACTTTTACCAGAAAGAATCATGTGAATGTTAAAATAATAAATAAATTCAGTGTTAAATGGTATTTTTCACTTCTTTGTGTCGTGTTTTGCGGATATCTTTTAGATTAATCTCAGTTTCAATTTAAGCTTAATTTTAGCAGTGACCTTAGAAGACTACAATTATAATGAAAACCACTTTTGGCCCTGCTTTTTATTAGATTCAGCCTTTTAGTTGAAAGAGTTCTTGCACGAATACCAAAACATCAATTGATCAAGAGGTCAAGAGGACAATCCTTGCCTAATGTTAAATTAATTTTCAGCACAAGGTATGGCAGGTATTTGTTCTGTCCGCACTTTAAATCCAATGGACTTTAGTGTCACAGAGCATGTTAGAGATTAACTGTTACTTGAACTTTTTAGTTGAAATGGACCTTGACAGCTATGAAAGTGGTCGACATGAAATCAAACTGATAATTGTCATAACATGCATATGATTAGTTGAAACTAAGACTGGAAAGGACAAGCTGTGTGAGATCGTTGACACATTGCTTAAATCTATATGGAGGATATTGATTTTAGGCCAAACCAGAGTGATTAACTAGGACATTCCCTTTCCTTTTTTCCTTTCATCAAACCTTAACATCATCTTCGCATTTTATTCAAATGTTGTATTTGCTACATAATTATGGATGAAGTAGTTAGTAAATTCTTTAACTGCTATGGTCATCTGCATGCATTTGAACTAGATAAACCATGAAAAGATCACCTGGAAGCAGAGACGAAGTGCATCGTCGCCTTTCGAATTCTTAAGGCTGGAAAACCCACAGAGTATCTCTCTCATGTCAACAGTTCCATCTTGGTTGTTGTCAAATATGTCAAATATGCGTGGTGCTAGAGGGATAAGTGATGACATATTCATTGCTTTTAGAACCTCCTCAAATTCAGGGAGCGTGGCATTGTCTCCACCTGCACATCTGCCAAAATCCAAAAGCATTAAAAAAAATGAATGTTGAAGAGCAGCTGGACCATTGGAGCTCATGTCTGCTTTATCGATAACAGGTTAAGCATTAGCTTGGAAATATATGGGTCCTTTCCAATGTGTCGGGCCAATTATCAGTTCCAACTACTTACATTTTCTTGAAGTGTATCTTGAGGTTTTCAATTTCCTCTGGTGTAAGATCATAGGATCCCAACAAGGATTTCAAATTTTTAATCCTCAAGAAGACTGTGCTGCTCCATAAACTAGCAATTGCTGCAGCACGGAGTTTGCGACGAGCATTAAATTTTTGCAATCTGTCAACAATCTCAGGATCCATCTGATCACCTTTAGCTATTTCTCCTCTGACCCATGGATGAGTGAGAAGCTGTTCAAAGAAATAGCACACGAGGTATGCAGAGTTTATCATTCTCATCCATTCTGATGATGAACTATTATACAATTTCTCTGCTTTAAAATAATGTGATGCAGAACGATAAATACAAGGAGTGCTGGCCGCCATCATAATTTCTTGGTATGCTATGCAGTGAAAGTCTTTACAATATTTATATATTTTTTGCAGGATTTTTGTTTAATGACATGTCAGATTACATGTCATACAGATGAAGTTTAAAGTGTACCTCATGAGCGCTAGGTCTCCTATCAGGATCAACGGCTAAGAGACTTGAAATCAATTGCTTTGCTGATGAGGAAATGGTCTTCCAAGTCTTCTCATAAAAACTGAAACTCCCCTGATAGAATATATTTTTCTTTTTTTAAGCAAAATGAACTATGACGGAACAAAAAGCGGGGTGTATGCATATAGATGATGTCTCTGATAGGGTCACTAAAGAGCAAAAATCAAGAATGTACTTTGACATAGATGTCTTGAGACATTGCCAATATTTACTCTTTGGGGTTGCATTTCTCTTATTTTTATTCTAGAAATTACACCCTTAATCTTGGTGAGATGTGTATTACTTACAGTCATGATCATTTGTTGCTTTTGGCGATTAGACTGAGCGATGAAAGGCGGATACCTGCAACATCAAAGAAGGTTATCTGCAGCATTTTGATGTCTTATATTGAGAATGTAGGACTTAAGGTATGAGGGGACAGGACTGACACAATTGGAAAATTCTTTAGGCATCTAATCTACATCAAGCCAATAATGAATAGATATGCAAGCATGTTAAGCATACTTTCTCTGACATGCTTTTGTGTCTATCTATGATTGGTTCATCTACAAATATGCTGTAGACTTGAATCTGCTTCGGAATCTCTTGGCACAACTAAACTCAGGAGAACAAAATGCTTACCCAGAGAGTAAGATATAAAGAATTACTCCCACGGACCACATGTCACTCTTATTAGTAATCTTTCCTTGAGATAGAGCCTCTGGTGAGACATAATCAATGGATCCAAACAAGCCAACAACTGGGTCAGTAAATTCCTCCACAGAACTCAACCCAAAGTCCATGATCTTCAGAGGAGAATCCTTTCTACTGTCCTGGAATAAGCAATTCTCAGGCTTCAAGTCCCTGTGCACAATATTAGCTCTATGAATAGCCTCTAGTCCTTTTGCAATCTGATGAATGACAGCTGCAGCTTCGGCCTCCGAGTACTTCTCTTGAGCCACAATCCGGTCAAACAGCTCGCCACCGGAGCAAAGCTCGAGAACGAGATGAACCCCATTTGAGTCTTCATAAACATCATAGAGGTCAATCACATTTGGATGAGGTGAAACGTTCTCAACTATCTTCCTCATGACTAAGATCTCATTGGTGAGTAAAGCATCAGATATTGAAACTTGTCTCCATGTTGGGAACCCCATGGCAGCTATACTCTTATTATGACCTCTTTGAGTTCTTGGAAATCCAGAAGAAGGATCAGAGGTACCTACTCTTCTGAGTGTTTTTATGGCTACCTGGGTTTTTTCACTGCTTGATTTTTTAATTCCTTTTCTGACAACAGAAAATCCTCCTCTTCCTAAGATCTCTGAAACTTCATATTCATCTGAGAGCTTTCTGGTTTCCATTCCCATGGTGTTCTTGAAGACTCAGAAAGAAATTGCAGGGAACTGGAAGAGAAGATTAAAGAACTAATGATAGAGAAAAGGTTTTGAAAACGCGTTTTGAAATGGTTGTGGTTAAGATTGACGTAAGCCTGTAAGAGTTCTTGTATTAGTTTATAGGATAAAATATGAAAGAAATTCAGATAGGTCCATAGAATAAAGTATAGAGGTTAAGAGTTGTTTTAGATGCGACAAAGGGAGAGTCAACTGCCATTGTAAGTATAGTTTAATTAATATTCCATGGGCCAAAGAAATAAAAATTATAATTTTAATATTTATTAAGTTTTCACATTCACTAATCAACAAAAAGGAAAAAGAAAAGAAAATATGAAAGAAAAAAAATGGAGCGTATATTTTTTACGCATTATTTGACGTTTAAAAAATAATGAGTTGCATTGAATTAACGAATGTTGATAGCTAGATTATTGGTTAAAAAATGGAAAGGTCTTGTTAAAAAATTTTACTTAGTTCTTGTTTACATTCAATCATTTTGGGAGATTTCTTTCTTAAACTAAGTACTTCCCATCCATCCATCCATCCATCCATCCATTTTATATCTTCAAATCTTGTGAATTTAGTTTATATTCTCAAATCTTAGTGAATAAAACTTGATTGATCAATTAATTTCATTATCACATTTTTAGGTGAAATCTGATTGGTCAGTTACATTCATCATTATCACATTTTTATCTTATTGGTCAAATTGGTCAATTAAGATCATAATCACACTTGTAAATGCTTTGATCCCTGAAAAAAAAAAATTAGTGTGCGATATTTTTTATTGTGAATTTTCACATCACACAACACTTGTCTCGGGATTGCAAGTATTTTTATATACTAATAATTTTAATAACTTATTTTAATAGATGTAGATTGATTAAATAATAATAATAAATGGTCGAAAAAAAAAGATTGATTAAGTGATAATTGTTGGGTCTAATTGAAGGTTAATTATCTCAAAGGTGTTTTTTATATTTACATGAATTCAAATTCGATACCTTATTTTTTAAAGGTCGTAATAATTTTTGCAAACACCAACTTATGTTGATTCCTTTTAAGTTATTTATTTATTATTGTTCATACAATACAGTTCTTCGCTTTTGAAAGACAATTTTTTTCTCATGCTTGTGTCAAGAATCAGTTGGTATAAAATTAATTTCAAGGTAAAAGTGAAATTTTTCAGCGGATGGAAAAAAATTAGTTAGTTCACGTAAAAGGAAAAAAAATCAATTGTACTGAATTATTAAATCAAAAATCATTTTTTGGTGAGTTATAAAGATTTTCTAATAAATTTGTTAAAATTATATAAATTGTCTATTTATGTTTAACCTATGTAAGCTTTTCTTCAAACTCAAAAGACAATGGAATCTTATATCATAGTCTCTTCTTAAAATTTTCATTGAAGAATATTTTTATTAAAAAATTTATAATTATTTAAAGTTAACAGTAACTTTTATTTCAAAGAAAGTTTATACACATTTTTAAAATATATAAAAATATTGTATCTTTGAAAAAAAAAATTGTATTATTGATTCTAAGATATTATAACACACTATAAATTGGCCTTTTCTATTGCTGAAGAGGTATGTTCAAATCAGAAAAGTAAGTTAGCATGAATCATGGGTTTTAGGGGAAGGAAAATATTGGTAAAGATTTTGCGTATAAACTAGAAAGCGATTGACGTTTGAGATATGTTAGTTCAAATTTTACCAAATAATTACAAAAGAAAAGAATAGAAGTATCACCCACAAAAATTGATCAATTGGTAAGAAATGGATCCATAATCTACAAGCCAAGAATATAAGTTGGATTATATCATATATGAGTTGGTCATAATAACCTACTATAAAAATTGGGTTGAATTAAAAAAAAAATATTAACTCATATAAAAATATATCTTTTTAACCTGAAAAAGATGACTCTAAGTCAAATGGATTAACATAAAAGGCTTAAAGTTGGATTGTTGTACTCATATTAAAAAAACTAAGTGAAAATTAAAAAAAATAAAAGATGGAGAGAGTTTTGGCACAAAACCTCACAGAACAAATAGATTTTAAAATGAATCATAACGAAATTGATCAATCTTATATGTTTATTATGTAATTTTTTTAAATTGCATAGAATATTATATTAAAACTTTGAGAAAACACTACTTTTATTTCTGCACTTTACTCAATTTTTGATATAAGTTCCTATACCTGTTTTTAGTGTTCCAAATTCATATATTTTTCTTTATAATATCTTCATTTTTAAAGAAACATTGACGTGGCATAAATAGTGTTAAAAATGCTAACGTGTTAAGATACTCACATGAATTTCTTAATAGGAAAAAGTAAAAAAAAAAAAAAAGTTTGTATTAGATGAAATGGAGATATTGACATAAATTTTTTAATAAAAAAAATTAAAAATTCTAGGTCATCCTTTTTATTTCATTTGATACATAGGTTATTTTTTAAATTTTTCCTTGTTAAAAAATCCATGCCAATAATAATTTGACACGTAAATGAAATTCAAGCAAAGTTTTGAGATCAAAAGTAATTTTTTTCCGAAACTTCTCATCTAGATGTAATTATTTTAAAAAATTTATTGAAAAAAATAAACAAATGAGTTGGTGGGTTGACTCATTTAACCCACCAATTTACTATGAATAAGTTGAGTTGAAATTTTTTAACTCATAAAAAAATAAATTAATCCATCTTAACTCATGTGTATCAATTCATATAATCTGAGATAGCTCATATTCCTACTTCTATCTACAAAGTTATGGTTTCAAATCCTGCTATCATATAAATTCAAAATATGAAAAATAAATTAATTATATAAAATTTTATATTTTTATTATAAAATTTTATGGTAGATTATTAAACCTTTTTAATAAGAACCAAATTTTTAGTTAAGATACAACAAGCATATAACTCTAGCTAGAACATTTAATAAAAACTAAATGTAGCTGAGTCAAATGCTATAATTTTGACTAATCTAAAAGAAATTCTCAAATAGTAATTAAAAATAATAATAAGACCTCCTCAGATCAATAACTTTGGATCGATAATAAATTACTAGTTTCATTGTTTAGAAAATAAAATAAAAGTTAGACATGAAACATAGTCAAAATTAAAAGAACAAACAAGGACCTAACCAAGCCTAAATAGAAGGGAAAAATACAGATAGTCAAAGTCGATAAGTAAAACAAACATGGGAGGATGTTACATCAGATTTTGGTGAGAAGCTAATCGTAATAGTTTTTTTATTTTGTTTTTTGGGACAATTTTCGGGGACAAAGTTAAGTGAGAAAATATAACCGTAAATCCTTATATTTTGATTCCGTTTTGTTTTTAATTATTCTTATGATTTTTTTAATTCTTTTAGTTTAATCTGTCAATAACATTAATCCAAATAGTTTTAATAATATACATAATAATCATGAATTGGCATTGATAGAACAATTTTTGTTGTAACTTTGTTAACCCATTTGCTGACATAGAAATAAATAAAAAATTAATATTTTAATCCTTTAACTTTTAACTCACTTATAACCTAATTCCTCATCTATAACTTGTTTTGATTTAGTCCCTCAATTTTGACTCACTTATAATTTGATTTTTATTGAGATAAAAGAAATATTTATATCTTGCTTTAAAATACCATTTTCTTACTCTTTGATATGAAATATAAATTAATATGAGAAAAGAGAACCAACAAAAGTTGAGGGATTGAGTCATAAACGAGTCAAAAATTGAGAAATTGAGTTTTGATGAGTCATAGTTAAGGGATTGAGTTATAAGTAAATTAAAAATTGAATGATTAAAAATTAATTTTTCAAAATAAATTGATCAGATTAAAAGTAACGTATAAGGAGAAAATATAGTCTCCTTTCATGTGTGGCTTAAATAAAATGTTTTGAATATATGGTAGCAAAGAGGCTAACAGATTATGTGTACATAAGTAAAATTAACCTTGTTAGTACAAACTCATAGTATATTTTTAAAATTATAGGAATTAACATTGTAAACGGATTAAACTTAAAGGATTGTGAACAACAAAATAAAACTGTGAGGATTAAAAACAAAAACACAGTTACAAGGATATACTATTGTATTTTTCTAAGTTAAATGTTAAATTGCAATGGATAACTGTCATTATTATTTTATTTATTTATTTATCATTTATCAATGTGATATTTTTTAAAATAAATAATTTATTATCAAATTCATTTGATATAAAAAATTGAAACCGCCTGAATGCAGGGGAATGAGGTTATTAGTTTAATAAACCTAGAATTTTTAATCTGCCTGTTCTTTTAGAAAAAATTACAAACAAGTTCAAAATAAAGAAATTGATATTTTTTTCAGTTATATATACAAGTCAAATTCATGTATTGATATATGCAAATTTGCTGGATTTATGAATGAGAAAAATTCAAAAAACCTGAAAATTGAGAAAGGGAATTGAATGAAAAATGAATTTTATAAAATATTTAAACAAAAAGTTAAATTTTATAAAGTATTTAACTTTTCCATCCTTCTTTTTCTCATAAGTACTAGTCAAAGAAATGATATATTTATTTTAATATCATAATTAATAATTTTATGTTATTAATTCAAATGAATAATTAGATAGACAAATGTGATTAAATATAAAGAGAATATAATCTATGAGGGACTTGGTTTTGGGATTTTGAATGCCATAATTAGGATTAAATTTGGGGGGGGGGGATCAACCTTTTAAATTTTGTTTGTTGGACGCTTCCTTTTCTTGCTAGTTATCTCATCATACTATTACTTCCTTACATTTATAAATTTATGAACGTTTTGTACTCATTATAAATTGAAACCGAATCAAACAAAGGTAGTTATATATGATAACAATAGGCTTTTTATTATTAGCTCTCAATTTCAAACTCTGTAAATATGGCGATGATTAAATTTTCAGTAGGATGTGTGCCCCTTCAAAGAGGTGTTTGTAAGCTGCTAATTAAATTAGTTTGAATAAAAAATTTAAGATATCAAAATGAAAATAAAAAATAAGCTTTTTACTATATTCAATTTGGGCCTTGAAGTGCACA